CCGCAGTCTTCAACTGGAGAGGGCATCAGACTCAACAGAGGGCCCATTAAAACACAGACTGCTGTCCCCCGACCAAGTTTCTGATTCAGTGGGTCTGGGTGAGGGCCAAGAGTCAGCATTTGTAACAAGTTCCCGCGTGATGCTTACGCTGCTGACCCAGGAACCACTTCTGACTTTGTAGGGTTCTGTACTTGTAAGTAAACTACATCTTCAGTTCTGAAAATATTACAGAATAAAGAATAGATTCCTGTAGCTCAGAACGCAAAACAGACAAATCAACAGAAGTAAAATTATCTAGCTTCCATTCCACCCACAGGGGCATGGTGGAGGGACATGAAATCAGGTCATGGTCAGAATCTGGTGAGTTTTAATAAGTAATTCTTCCTGTGGGAGGTAACGTGGTGCAAAGCCTTTTGAGGAAGGTTAAGTGGTGAGGTTTAAGCTAGGCAGGGCATTCTGTTATCATCAGGCCTAATGCCCACAGGATAACGCTGCTAGCAGTCATTTTAAAGCCCCCACAATTTATCCGTGCTTTACAAGTTCGGTCTGATCATCAGTGAGTTCCTGACATGGACACCTGCACCTGACTCCACGCTTTTATACACACCATTCCCTCAACCAGAATACCCTTCCTGGTCTTCTTATCTCTGTATGAACTCTGTTTGTCCATCAAGACCCAGGTAAACCTAACTGTTCTCCATAAGAACTTAACATTCATTCCCCCTACACTGTGTCTTTTTCTGCTGATACCAATTCAGTGGGACACTTGATCATTGTTATCTTTTTTTTTCATTAATCAATTCATTTATTCAACAAATATTACCCTTCCTTCAACAAATCCTTATTGGAGGGCCTACAATATGCTGGGCATTATGGTAGGTTTTGGGAATAAAATCATAGGCAAAAATAGACATGGCCCCTGCTCTAATAAAGAGAAATCCATTAATCAAATAATGGCACTGGTGGAAGTACAATTATGGACTGAGAATAGTGGTTTGGAAGAAATGAATGTGTAAGAAATGGCCCTGATGTTGACTTGTGGTTGGGGTCGGGGTAGACTTCCTTAAGAAATACAGTCTGAGCTGAGATCTGAATGAAGGATGCCCAGGACGTGACTAGATGAAGAGAGTATGGGAAAAGGAACAGCTTTCCAAATTAGGGGTGTGGGGGCACACCAGCATGTGCAAGGGTCCTGTGGTGGGAGGCAGTGTGGCAGCTTCAAGAAACTGAGAGAATACCAGAATGGCTTGGGTGGTGGGATGGGAAGAGGGTAAAGAACAAAGAAAAGAGAGATACATTGCCAGACTGGGACAAACTTCAGAGCCCGATCGGCCTTGTTCATGATTTTGATTTTTAACCTTAAGAGCACTAGGATGCCCTCAAAGGATTTTGAACAATGATGGGATCGGAATTATATTTGAAAAGTTCATTCTGCTGCTGCTGTCTGTAGTATGGACAAGACCAAAAGCAGGGAGATGAGTTGGAAGCTATTGGGGTGGTCCAGATGACAGATGAGGAGGTAAACTGTTAGGTTGTGGGGTTGATTAAAGGAGAAGGAGGAGTCGAGGGCAAGAGTTTGGAGGACCATCCATTCAGCAAGAGTTGAACATGATGTTGACTTTGCCTTCGAATATGGAAGTAGAATTTGGGGTAGGCAGCTGAGCAGGAGCCCAGACCCTCTGGGCTGGGAGTAGTGACTGGGGGTCAGCAAGGTATAGTGTTGAGTGGGGATGTCAAGGAGGAGAGCTTGTGTGAGAAGAGAAAGGGTGTCTCCTCAGACTGGGTCATAAGCCCCTGAAGGAGACTCACTTCCCAGTGGCGCACAGGGAATGTTTCTCTCATTTCTCCCTTTGTTCTGCTCGCCGTCATCCAAGTTCAGGTCTTAATTATGTCTCACCTGGATGCAGCGAGAGCCTACTAAAATCCTCAAATTTTAATGTGCACGTGAATCACTTGGGGGTCTTGATAAAATGCAGATCCTGATTCAGTAGATGGAGGCTGAAGCCTTGAGATTCTGAATTTCTGACAAGCTCCCAGGTGATACGGACCGCATTTTCAGTGAGCGGAGTGGGTCTCCTTGCTTCTGAAGCTCAGCGCCATCAAGCCTAGCATCCTTGTGCCTCTGCTCGGATGCCTTCATTAGCCATTCATGGTCATATTCAGGATCTACTCTAGCTCTCCTTGGCCAGCCATGGTTTCCTCCCACTGCTTCCCTTCATCTACCCTTCATTCTACCAAACCAAAGCAAATCCCTTGCTCTGAATTTGTCCCTCTCTATCATTCAGAAACGGACAGAGACCAACTCAGTCTAGTTCCCGGTTGGAGGGGGCTACTGCAATGGTCTTCACACTTTGCTGCTTAAAATCCCCCATAAAAGGATGTGGTAAATGTAATGACCCCCCTCACACATTTTCAGTTTACATCTACATTTTTTATCATACATTTGCAGAAGATGCAATTTCCAGTATATTATGAACATTGATATTTTTAAATAAAACTATTACATCACTGTTTTAAATTTATCCAGTGGAATCTAAGCACCATAGACATTTGATATCCACCATCATCCATTTTAAAAATGCATGAACACGCTCTTCACTAATTGTCAGCGTTCCTTTTTCTTCTTGAAACTTAATTTCTGTTCACTTCCCCGGTGGAATTTTATCCTAATGGAATATATGTAATCTATTTTATGCTTAAAACTCTTTCATTTGTTTCCCTATCATATTTCTCTGTAACAATTTTATATGAAATTAAAACTTCTTTAATTTCCTGAAATCATAAAGCTCTAAGTATTAAAATTTTCTCTGGTTTGAGTTATTGTTAACAATTATTAATAGGACATGATTGATCAAAATAACATAAATGTATTGCTAATTTGGATAAATAATAAACATAAAACCTAAAATTATATTGAAGATGCATCTCTTGGTGAGGTAGTAATGCTGGATGACTTTTTAAAATAAAGCTTTTTATTGACTTAAGACATACACACCTATATATGACCAGAGTGTACAGCTTGAATTATCCAAGTGGGCACACTCACTTGAATGAATACAGTTATCACCACGCCCAGAAATAGAATACTGCTGGCATTGGGTTATTTCTTCAGCTTGTTTTTATATTCGTGGAAGAATATTACGTATCGTACGAGATTTGAGATGGGCCAGCATTGATTACATTTCCGTTTTTTAGTCATAGAGATGTAAGCCCTGAATATCCTCATTCGTATGAACTGATAGAAGTTTTGTTAAAACAGGATCACTCGATTCTTCCCTTTTTTTTAAAAAAAGATTTTTATTTATTTATTTGACAGAGAGACACAGTGAGAGAGGGAACACAAGCAAGGGGGGTGGGAGAGGGGGAAGCAGGCTCCCCGCAGAGCAGGGAGCCCGCTGTGGGGCTCCATCCCAGGACTCCGGGATCATGACCTGAGCCGAAGGCAGACGCTTAACGACTGAGCCACCCAGGCGCCCTGATCACTCAGTTCTTGATCTGCTTCTGACTTCTATACCGAAAATCACATAGCGATCCATCACTAACAATTAGACTTTAATTACTTCTAGTAGGCCCTCCTAAGAAAAAAAAAGGAATTGGAAACCATCCAGCTTCAAAGAAGATTCACCACTAATTTATTAGAGTTGCTTGTTTTCTAGATGGTGGCCAGGGGGGTTTTACTGGGGCGATAATAAGCCCAGTTAAGACTTGGGATTGGGTAAGAGGTCTGTCTTTCTTTTGTAGAGAAGGAGGGCAGTTGTGAGAGTGCAAGTATAAAACGTCAACTTGCACCTTCGTCACCAGTCAGTTCTAGAAAACAGCTTCTATGGAAGTTTGAGGATCTGGGAATTAAGAGAAAGAGAAACTTTCTCTCAAAACTTGGAGTGCATGTGTGTAGTGCTCGGAACGTCTTCGTGTACTGCCAGGGGTTTACAGACCCCAGTTAGACGTCCCCTAAAGGACCTGTCTGAGTCAAACCAGACTAAACCAGTCTCTCTAGATATCCTAGTTCATGGTTCTAAGACTTGTCCCAGTATGGTTTTTCATGCCAGGTCAGCACTGTGCAGAGATGTTTCCCTAAGCAGGGACCTCAGAAAGCAGGGAACTGTGTTGACGGGACAGGCAAACTAATGTGTGCAGTACTCCCCTTGGAAACTTTCTCCGGTTCCATTCTTATCCGGCATAAGCTCTCCAGTCTAAGTTCCCATATCTGTTATTTTTACCTTTTTATTATGTGCATTCTTCCTTCTGGCATCATATTTATTCATGTGACCCATCATCACCTTTTCTAACCATAAACACCTCAAGAGCTGGCCCATGTCATAATCATTTCCTGGCATTGTGCCTTACACTTACTAGGTGTCTAGTAAGTATTTCTTGAGCAGGTAAGTTGATAAACGAATGCCTTAACCTTCTTCACATCGCCTGCAGGTCCTAGGATAGTGCCGAGTCCCAGAAGAATGGAGGAATTAATCAGTGAGCAAAACAATGAATTAACAAATCAATGAACTAATGAGCCATGGAACAATGGCTGGAAAGTAAGAGAGTTCCCATCTCCCATGAGGGCCCAGATCTGCAGAATCAGTGTAAAGGGTGTGCAGTGTATGAAACAGGCTATTTCCAATCAAGTCTCCTGTTTTGTATTGAATTCTCTAATTGGTCAGGGTAGATGTCATTGTTCCTGCAGAGCATCCAAGTAAATCTGGTCCTGTGCTTTGCACCTTGTCTTGCAGGTGTGCGCGGCATCTCTGCACCACGGCAGTGTTTGGTCCGTACCTCGGCCCGCGTGACGATGTCAAGCCCCCCGCTCTGCACATGAGTGGTACCGGCCAACAGGAACATCTGGCTGCAGCCACGTTCACAGACATGTCAGCCGTGGAATAGTGTGGACGCCTTCCCTCAGCTTCTCAGGGTTTCAGTCCTTTTGGGTTTGTTTCATTGACCTTTTTTTTTTTTTTTTTTTATGGTTTTGTGGCTGGACGTTCCCGGCCAAGGCAGGCGCCATGGGGGATCAGCAACTCTACAAGACCAATCACGTGGCCCACAGTGGTGAGAACCTTTTTTACCAACAGACCCCACTTGGCATCCATGGCGGGCTGAACCACAACTATGGGAATACAGTCACAGGGGCTGGAATGGAGGCCCCTCAGGCGTCACCCATCTCCCCCCACTTCCCTCAAGATACTCGGGATGGTCTAAGCTTGCCTGTTGGCTCCAAAAACCTGGGCCAAGTGGATACCTCGAGGCAGGGAGGGTGGGCAGGTCATACCGGGCCTGGAAACCATGTCCAGTTACGCGGCAACCTGACCAACTCAAACATGATGTGGGGGACCCCGGCCCAGCCTGAGCCCACCGATGGCTACCAATATACCTACTCCCAGGCCAGCGAGATCCGGACCCAGAAACTCACCAGCGGTGTCCTGCACAAGCTAGACTCCTTTACCCAGGTGTTCGCCAACCAAAACCTGCGAATTCAGGTCAACAATATGGCCCAGGTGCTGCACACCCAATCGGCAGTGATGGATGGGGCCCCTGACAGTGCCCTCCGCCAGCTGCTGTCCCAGAAGCCCATGGAGCCCCCAGCGCCGGCTCTTCCTACTCGCTACCAGCAGGTGCCCCAGCAGGCTCACCCTGGTTTCCCCAGTGGGCTGTCCAAACCAGCCCTGCAGGTAGGGCCACACGCCAGCCAGGGGCACCTGTATTATGACTACCAGCAGCCGCTGGCTCAGATGCCAGTGCAGGGAGGACAGCCACTGCAGGCCACCCCGATGCTGTCCCAGCACATGCAGCAGATGCAGCAGCACCAGTATTACGCGGCGGCACCACCACAGGCTGGGCAGCAGCACATGCCCCTGCAGGACCTGCCGCAGCCGCCGCCGCCGCCGCAGCCCCGCCCGCCACAGCCTCAGCAGCCCCAACAGCAGCTGCAGCAGCGGCAGGGTCCGATGCAGATACCTCAGTATTACCAGCCCCAACCGGCGATGCAGCACTTGCAAGAGCAGCCTCAGCAACAGCAGCAGCAGATGCACCTGCAGGCACCCTCTTATCACAGGGACCCCCACCAGTACGGCCCGGAGCAGGCGCACGCCGTCCAGCTGATCCAGCTGGGCTCCATGCCCCAGTACTACTATCAGGAGCCCCAGCAGCCCTACGGCCACCCACTCTGCCAGCAGAGCCACCTGCCCCAGCACCAGCAGCGCGAGGACAGTCAGCCCAAGACCTACCCGACTGACAGGCAGGCCCAGGCCATGCTGAGCTCCCACGGCGACCTGGGGCCTCCTGATGCAGGAATGGGAGACCCGGCAAGCTCGGACCTGAACCGGCTCAGCGGGGCCCTCCCACACCGGCCGCTCCTGTCCCCCGGTGGGATCCACCTCAACAGCGTGGGGCCTCAGCACCAGCAGCTGTCTCCCAGTGCCCTGTGGCCCCAGGTATTCTCAGCGTGGGGGTGGCTCCGGGTAGCTCGGTGTGCCGCAGCGCCAGCCAGAGCTGAGTCTATCTGGGCAGTGCCCGGCCCTCTAGCCAGCCCCGTCCCGGGCTTCTGTTCCCTGTTCATGCCACGAACATTAACCCACATGTGCCAGACGCTGTCTGTGCCAGGCATGTGGAACACAGAAGCGATTTCGACTCAGTCCTCTGCCCACTGAGCTTAATCTTGCTACAGAGGTGGCCAGAATACTATATGAGGTCCTGAATGATGCACGTAGTGGTCAAGGCCTGGGTCAGGGGCCCAGGGACCACACAGTGGGGGTGTCTGGTCCCCTTAGGTCTGAATCCTCAGAGCATTCCTTTGTGAAATTGTTCCCACTTTGGGAAGGAGGCCACGTTATGACAGCATTTCTCCAAGCACATTACTCAGACCAGGAAGACAATAGAATGTTTAATAGATAAGGCTGGGGGGATACAGCTTCTCCAGATAAATCCATTTTGGGGGTTCCTAAAGTGGATCAGGTTGCAATGCTGAGGGGCTTCTCAGAGCCTTTATAGTATGCTAATGGGCGCTGGGAATCTCCCAGAGGGGATACCTCCTATAGCTTCAGAGATTTTGAGAATCTTAGCTCAGGATTCAGGCAGGTAAAGGGAATAAGCAAAGTGGCCTGTTAGGAGATAATGAGGAGTGCTACCAGCTCTGGTGGCCTTGAGGGCAGATGCCCCATCTGATGGCATCTTTATTCAGGACTTTTCAAAACCGTGTAGCCAAACAAAAACCGTCAGCAGGCCTGTGGGCCACGGTGGTTAACCCTTGATTGCTTCCCAAATGTATTTGTGACAAAACGGCCTCCTGTGTGCTGGGCACTGTTCATGCCTTGGCATGTTCTGGGTGCTATAGTCATGTGACAATAGGCTCAGGGGAGAAAGGGACCAGGATAGATGGAGAGAAGGCTCTGCTGGAGGCTGGAGATGAGCTCCCCTTGACCCTGTCTTGCTTGAGACTCAGGCCCATTGGTAATGGAGAGCCTTTATGAATATAAGAATAAGGTGGCATGGCCAATGCCGACCTGACGAGCAGGAGGTCTCCGGGCATGCTGCTGTGTTGTCCAGCTGTCTGTTCCATCTTTCTCTTAGGAATGGAGGCTGTTTGTGCACACAGTGGTGGACAGGGAGAAAAGGAAGGAACGAGGCAGGGGATTGAGTCCTGGTGGGCTGGTTGCTGGTGGCAGCTCTCAGAGTGGGTGCGTTACCAAGTTGGGGGGCTGGAAGAAGCAAGGGAAAGAAGTGTCAGGTGCACCCAGCGCCTGGACATGAACTGCTGGCCCCTGTGAGCTTGGGGAAGCATCTTAGAAAGTGCAGGCCCAGGGGTTCCCTCAGCTCAAAGACTCCTCCCGTGAGAAAGACACTTTTTTTCTCTTTCTTCTTTCTTCCCATGTCCTGCATGGCTCAAAATTAGATGCACCTACCTGATGGCAGAGCCCAGCCAGGGTCCCCCGAGTCAAGGTAGGATGGTTGCAAGAAGGCATGTCGGCATTTTGGGAGAGTGGGAGGTTTGCCTGGGTTGTCTCTCCAGATTCATTTTCAAATTCAAAGTCAATTTCTCAAAGAAGTTTATAATAATAATAGCAGGAGCTATTGTGTTTGAGCATTTACTGTGTGCCAGGCACTCTATATTTTGTGTAATAAAGCAGCCCAGTGGGGGTGGGTAGGATTACCATGTGCCTAGCACATAGTAAGCAGTCGACCATTCTTGGCTTTATTCCTATGACTTTACGAATGAGAAAACAGGCTCAGAGAGCTTGGAGTTGTACATCAAGTAAGTGGCGATACTGGGATTGACTCCAGAGGCCATGTTCTGTCCACTGTTCATTCAGTCAAGTATTTATTGGGTATCTGTTGTGTGCCAGGCAATAGAGTTAAGCTTTGAGAATGCAGCAGTAAATAGTACAGACTTGTTTCCCCCCATCATGGGCATGGTAAATTCTTAGCCAGAACAACCTGACAAACTGTTAAGACATGCCGTCTAGAGGCTGAACCAAGGGACTTAGACACGTGTCTCCAAGGGAAGGCTTCTGGAAGAGGCAGCCTGAGCTGACTCTAGAAAGATAATAAATAGGCCAGAGGTGGAAAAAAAGGCCAGCACTTGATGGCCTAGAGTGAAGGACATTTTGTTCAACTCTTGCATTACTTTGAGTAAGCCCTTTTTCCCACTCTTGAGCCTCAGTGTTCCATCTGTAAAGTGTGCTTAGTTCTCTGAAGGGTATTGGGATAGTACAAGTGGGGCCATGGGAGCACTGGATGAATGAAATGGGTTCACTGTGGGGTGTGAGGTCTTGTGATAAGTCACCCTTCCTCTTTGTCAACATGTGTGTCCTCTCCATTTGGCCCTACCCTTGAGCAGTGGCCAACCAAAAGGAGTGTTTGGGGAGCAATTTGATGCCAAGAACAAACTGACGTGCTCCATCTGCCTGAAGGAATTCAAGAGCCTACCTGCCCTGAATGGCCACATGCGGTCCCATGGGGGAATGAGAGCCTCCCCCAGCCTCAAACAGGTTAGCAGGAGCCAGCTCCCGGCCCTTCCCAGGCCATGTGTTGCTTGCTTTGCTTTGCTGCTGTCAGACAGAGAGTGATGTGACCCCCTGGTGGGCACCTGGGGAGGCACCATCCTTCCCTAACGGGAGTGCTTAAGCCTTGCCGCTAGGAGCCAGTCAGGTCAAACAGACCCCACTTCCACTGGTTTCATGAACAAGGGTCAAAAACAGAGGGGCTAGAAACCTTTTGAGGGATCCCATCTCTCCACTTCCTGAAAAAGACAGCAAAGAAAACACCTAGATGTGATATTATTTTTAACTTCTGCTGCTTAAAGCACCTAAGACCAGAGTATCTTGGGCCTCCCAGCGTAGTAGCCGGTGGCCAGGGAAAGCTAATGTGACCATCGGACTCTCAGCCAGCACTTTCTACTCACCAGTGCACTAGTGTTAGACTCCAGCAATGGAAGGTCTTTAAATACCCTCAGGATTATCCAGGGAGGATATCCCTGTGGTGAACTACCCATGCAGTTTTAGAGTAGGATTAAAATTCAAAGAATTTCTTAAATTCTTTAGATATTGTTGATCTAAATTTAAGTCTATGGGATTAACTCTCTGTTCACCAAAATCCTTGATACCCCGGGTCACTCCCATCTCCTGGCCGTTCCAGATCAAAGAGCTTTGTCTTCCATTGGACAGATGAGTAAACTGAGGCCCGTAGAATTAAGAGGTCCTACACAAGAGCCTATGTGTTTTGTTTTGTGCCTGATTACCAGTCCATATCCTTTCCTTTAAGAGCGACGACAACAACAAAACTTCAATATCTGCTTTAATTATACAAGTGATAACGGTCGAGATTCTTTAAACATAGAAAATTGCATGGCCTTGTCCACTGCCAACTGGCATCACTTGAGCCAGGGGACTCAGGGTTGCAGGAAGGAAAGCACCCTGCCGTGGTTCTCTGTCACCCACGCATGATGTCCTGCAACATTTCAGGAAAAGCAAAGTGCGCCCCCCCTTGGGAAGGCTGCTCTTAGCCCAGGATCAAAGCCTTTATTGTCTGTGTAGGAGGAAGGAGAGAAGGCCCTGCCGCCTCAGCCTCAGCCTCAGCCCCAGCCTCCACTGCCACCTCCGCCGCCACCGCAGCTCCCTCCCGAGGCAGAAAGCCTCACGCCTATGGTCATGCCCGTGTCTGTCCCTGTCAAGCTTCTCCCGCCCAAGCCAGGCTCTCAGGGCTTCGCCAGCAGCATCGTTGCCGCCCCCTCCGCCAGAGACAAGCCAGCCAGCTCGATGTCGGACGACGAGATGCCCGTGCTCGTGAGGATGACCCTCTCTCCCCCACACTCACCCCAAGGGGCTGCCCCCCACCCGCCTGCTGTGAGTTGCTGCTCTGTCCCCGCCCGCCTGGGGTGGGAACATCCCTTTGCTTTCCTGGAGATGGGGCAGCTCTTCCAAGGTCACTGGCCTGAGTTCAGACATGGCTTGGTCTCTCGGGGTGAGCCCCACACGGCCTCCTTGGGAATCCCGTCCTTGTCCACACTGCCTGCTCCCCAGGGAACACCCGTTACTCTACCAGGCTAACGGTCTGGGTAGATTCTGAGACCTGAAGGTATTCCAAGAGGGAAACAAAGATGGTAACTCAGCTGGTAATCACAGCCATTAAAATATGGAAGTACTATCCCAGATAATAAATAGCTATTGCCTGGAGCCCTGCCCCCCCCCTTCAGGATCTCCAGACCTCCTCAAATCCAGCAGCTACAGATGGAAGCCCTGGCACAGCAAGCCTCCATGCAATAGCCCTGGCATCTGTTCTGATGGTCAGCCTAAGCGGATGCTTCATATTTTCAGTATCCCACCTGCATTATTAGCCTTAGAGGACCTAATTCACTAAGGTCCCCAAAGTAATTCCACTGAGAGACACCCACCCCCGAGTCTCAGGAAAGCAAAGAGATTTGTGTTTCTCCCTCACTCTGAAGTTCTCCTTCTCTTTCTCAAATTCCAAGTGCTTCACCCAAGCAGCTTAGCTTGGCTCTGGGGTGGAGATCTCTCTCTCTCTCCCCCTCTCCTTCTCCCTCTCTCCCTCTCTCCCTCCCTTCCTCGCTCCTTCTCTTTCTGTCTTCCTCCCTCTTCCCTCCTTCCCTCCCCTGGGGGGTCTGTAACCCATGTGGTCGACTACATCAGATTTGTTCCCTCTCCACAAAGTGGTGTGCTGGGTCACATTTGTCCTCAAAGAATAAGTGGCTGCTGGGATTCCAGGTGGTATGAAGGTGGGGTTGGGCCAAAATAGGGGTAGGGTGGATAATTAAGAGAACTAGAAAAGTCCAGAAAGAACCTTCTTGGTTCTCTCTGTGATACCAAGGCCTCAGAAGAGGAATGCTGAGGGGGAACCTCTGGGAGTGAGCACGGTTCTCATAAGCCGGCAGGACTTGGGGGCCAGTAACAAGCAGAGAGGTGAAATGACAGCCAAGCTCCCGCTTTGCCCAGGGAAGTTCCTGATTTAGCGGGAGAGACACTGTTTCTACCCCTAGAGAACTCTCAGCCTGAAGCTGGAGACGGTATGGTTCCTAGTCACAGAGGGGTCAGAGCCCCAGGCAGCACCCCGTGCCCCAACTTAAGACAGTGGGAAAGAAACCAGGGCAGAGAAGAAACAGTGGTCCCCCATAGGGGAGCACCCCTGGGCAGCTAAAGTAACTAGGGACTGGGGAGACGGAGGGAGTTTGGTATGAATTTGCTTAGAAGACCACCATGAGCACAGTTCTGAGCAGGGTTTTAAAGGCAGAGATGAAGCTGGCTTTGTGGAAAAGGTGAGAGAGACATTGTTAAATAAGGAGATAAGCTGAACTAGAAGCATGTAGCTAGGATTGAGTAAATAGGGGCAAGGTCCTGACACTTGATGTAAAGAAATTAAAATGTCTGCGGAGGAGCCCTGGGTTCTAATCCCCACTCGCTGCTGGCCCCCTGGGGTTGCAGGCAACTGAGACCCTCCCCCTTGAAAAGCCTGGGTTTCTCCCCTGAGCTGGGGGTTGGACTCATCAGTGGATCTCCCTGCTCTGGGGAGCTTTTAAAACCTCTCAGTGAGTGGTCCCACCTCCAGAGTCTGAATAGCCTGGTAGAGGTGGATCCCTGTAAATGCTTCCTCTCAAGTGACATCCAGGCCTGACATTCTGGGTGGTTTCCCTGGCCCAGGGTCTCCGAGCCTTGCCTGGAGTTGAGAACTGGAGTAACGGGACCAGAGGCTCAAGTACAGGGAGCCCAAAAGGGACCTTTGACCCTGTGATCAGAGGTCTGGATTCCCGCACAGGGTTGAAAGTCATGCAAGGTCAGCCTGTGCTCAGATGGCCTCATCAGTTATCCGGGAACAGGGTATATATAAAGCTTCGGATTGCTTCCCAACTTGGGGGGCAGAGACATCCACTCCCCATTCTCCTCAGACCTGTCTCTCTGCCTCAGCCTCAGGTGGTGAGGAGCCCTCTGGTGGGGAAAGGAGGCAGGTTGTGGCACTCTGGCCTCAGGAGAGCCCCCTGGGGGTGAGCTGGGAGCCTGGAGGGGTCCTCTGCTCCCTCTCCTTTCCCCACCCCTCAGCTTCCCTAGACTTCCCTCCTGGGGGTTGGGACAGCAGCCCAGAAGACAGTGAAGCTGAGGGAGAAACAGGAAGGGCAGCAAAGGGAGCCCAGGGCTGAGGGGTGACTGGAGCAGGTCACATGGCCTGGAGGCAGCTGGTCACATGACCACGGCCAGCCCTTCCCATCACCCCCTGCTGTCTCCTTACTCGGGTGCCACCCTGGGCACAGGAATTGCCAGGAACTGCAGCTGTGACAGGCACTGGCCTGCAGGGCCTGGGAGGGTACCACAGACTGCCCAGAACTTTTCTGCAGGTATCCCCACTGCCTCTCCCAACCGCACCTCGGCCTTCCCAGCCCCACCCAGCTACACCCAGCTCTCCGTTTTTCTGGGCTGATGCTGGCACACACCCCAAGTCTGTTTCTGTTTGGCTTTGGCATGCCCTGCTTATCTATTTATGTGCATATGTTTACTTATTAGTATATATGTATCCATGTGGCAGATCTTCCTTCCAGGCTATGCTTGGTTCCGCTGCCATAAAATAAACGAACACTGCTGACAGGAAGCAACCCAGGAGAAGGGCTTGCTGCAAATGTGCTACCGTCCTGGGAGCAGTGGGAGCAGTGGTGAGGGGTGAGGGGTGGGGGGCGGGGGGGCTTCACCACATCCGTTTTTAGGAGAGCACATGAAACGGGCCTCAAAGACCGTAGCTGGCTCTCCCTCAGCTCCAGAGTTACCTCGAAGGGGAGAGCCCAGTGTGGGTCACTGGCCCTGGGAGCCTTGGCTAGGCCTGGCCCCCTCTTCCTGCTCCACAGCCTCTGCCCAGCTTCCCTGAATAGATTATTCTGTCCCCTTCTCAGAACATGTGTTATCTGTCCCTGGTGGCCGTCCCCTGGGAGCGGTGGGGAATTAAAGGGCCCACTCGGCTGGATTCCACTCACCAGATGGGAATGCGGTGATAAGCAATAAAGAATGTGAATTTTTTCTTTCTTGCCCACCCACCATTCCTACCACCCCCATCTCTCTCCAGACATTAGGGATTTCCTCCCAAACCCAAGTTTTCTCCCCCGTCAAGCCACCGAACTGGGAACTGGAGGTGGCGGTTTTTTCGAGGCAGGCGATGCGGGGTTGGCGGGGGGGGGGTCCCCGTTAGAACAGACGCTCCCCTTCCCTCAACCTGTGGAAATGGCCTGTGGGGAAAGCCTGAGGATTCGACTCGGACCGTTCTTCCCGTTCTAGGAAATCCCCAAGAAGCATCAGCCCGGCGTGGCCAAAGCCGAGGAAGCCCTCAAGAGCTTGCCAGAGAAGAAAAAGTTCCGACACCGGCCCGAGCCGCTCTTCATCCCGCCACCGCCCTCCTACACCGCCAACCCCGCCGCCTCGTACTCGGGCGCCACCCTGTACCAGAGCCAGCTGCGCTCCCCGCGCGTCCTCGGGGACCACCTGCTGCTGGACCCCGCCCACGAGCTGCCCCCCTACACGCCCCCGCCCATGCTGAGCCCAGTGCGCCAGGGCTCGGGGCTCTTCAGCAACGTGCTCATCGCGGGGCACGGCCCCGGCGCCCACCCGCAGCTGCCCCTCACGCCCCTGACGCCCACGCCGCGGGTGCTGCTGTGCCGCTCCAGTGAGTCCCCGCCTCCCCTCCCCACTTCCCCCTCCCCGCCCTCGCGGGGCTCCTGGACCCCACCGACTTCTGCCGGAGACGCTTAGACTACGCGTACGCCACTCCCCCTCAGGGGAAGCCCAGTCTAGCCGGGGAGACCTCGGAGCTACCGTAATGACGGCCTCTTTGGCACAAGCGAACAGTTGAAGTGTGCCCTTGCTCCCTAAGCCTGGGCCGTGGATAATCGTCGGAGACACCCCCCCCCCCAATACCTGTACTAAGTAGATAGACAAATGGGATTAAGTATTATTCGCAAGACCCGGCTTCCACATCTTATGCACGCGCTGTATAAAGATCAAGCATGGAGAGCCCGGGAGCCAGTATCTCTTTCTAGAGTAAGAATGGTTTCAGAGGAACGATAGAGCTTAGCCGACCAGAATCAGGGCGCTGGCTTCTTACCCCGTGCGAGAAATGAGTAACCCTAAGCCATTTAGCAGCACATGCCATTGGGTTCCTTGAAGACTACTGGGGGTGACTCTGGCATGGGTTGGGTGGGAGACGGGTCCCATTATTACTGTTTAGGTCACTGCTCATTGGCTTTAGTTTCTTCGGTACCCTTTCCTGTTGATCACTGACCTCTGGTTTTTGTGCTTCAGACAGCATTGATGGCAGCAACGTGACAGTCACCCCAGGGCCTGGAGAGCAGACCATTGATGTTGAACCGTAAGAAAAAGCCAATTTTGGTTTATTGGTTTGTTTGTTTGTTTGTTTGTTTGTTTGTTTGTTTTAGAACAGAAGCCTCAGCTGAAGATGAGGAACCACCGAATGAGAAGTTAGAGAAATTGTAGGATCATGGTAGTTCTCAAGTACTGGTGTTTCAAGGCTCTTTCCAAAGACTAAATGCATACTAAAGCATGCATGAAACCCTATATTCAGAGAACCTCGTGACTCCATCTCCGGCTGCATGGTTGTGGCCACATGCTTGCACATCCCCAGTGACATTGAGCTCTCTGCAGGGCTTCATCCAAATGCCCTTGCTTCCCAGTTCCCTCCCTAAAATTCTTGGCTGGTCCTCCAAATAGGTTTGGTATGGGTGGGGCTGGGGAGTATAATGGAAAAGAAAGGTGCTATTTACTTTTTTCTTTTTTTTAAGATTTATGTATTTACTTAGCATGTGTGGGTGGGTGGGGGAGGGGCAAAGGGAGAGAATGTTTCAAGCAGACTCCTCGTTGAGTGAGGAGCCCGACCCTGGACTCGATCCCACAGCCCTGAGATCACAACCTGGGCCCAAACCAAGAGTTGGAGGCTCAACTGACTGAGCCACCCAGGAACCACAACAAAGGTGCTATTTTCATAGATAAGCGCAAAAAAGACCAGGTGGTAGAGTGGTGACTACTTTGAGTCAGTAATCTGAAAGCCTGAGTTCCAGCACCACTTTTTTATTTGACCTTGAAGAAGTTAACCTTTCTAGGCTTTGTTTTTTTCTTTAAGATTTTATTTATTTGAGAGAGAGAGAGCCTAAGTGGGAGCAGAGGAAGAAGCCACACCCTGCTGAGTCGGGAGCCCGATTCGGGGCTCGATCCCAGGACCCTGAGATCATGAGGCAGACGTTTAACCATCTGAGCCACTCGGGCACCCCAACCTTTCTAGGCTTTAGTTAACCCACCTATTAAGTGGGAATAATTATCACTGCCTTGCTTACATCACAGGTCTGTGAGATTCAGATGGGATAAGTTATGTGAAAGTGGTCTAAAAGGGATAACAAATATAATAAGCACGTTATGTTTGTTCCATTTTTCCTGGTTAAATGGTGCCAGTGGCCATACTCGGGGCGGCTGTTGTCTTGCGATGAGCACCCTCCCTGTCTGAGTTACACTGAGCTATGACGCTCCAGGCAGACTTCTCCCCCGCTCCCAGCAGCATCTCTCCCCAAACTTAAAGCTTTTCCTTCTCCAGTGAAAAGGCCATGCCTGGAATCTTAGGATCACACTGTGAGGAAATGCCCCTGCATTCTTCTTGCAGAAGGAACTGGTTTCCTTCTTTTTCAAGTTCCTGACAGTTGCTCTTGACCTCAAATTGAAGACCACACTGTTGTTTTCGTTCTTGTCCTTAAAGACGCATCAACATTGGCTTGAGGTTCCAAGCAGAGATCCCAGAACTTCAGGATGTCTCTGCCTTGGCCCGGGACACACACAAGGCCACACTGGTATGGAAGCCCTGGCCAGAGCTGGAAAACCATGACCTCCAGCAAAGAGGTATTGGCATGTGGGGAGAACTGGGTAGAAAAGGCTTGATCCTCTCACAGGGGTCTCTGGCTCCAGTCTGGGTGTGTTTGTCCATGAGACCAAGCTCTCTCTGATGCAGTGGCTTCTCATTGTCCCCAACAGTGGAGAATCTCCTGAATTTGTGCTGTTCAAGTGCGTTGCCTGGTGGAGGGACCAATTCTGAATTTGCTTTGCACTCTCTTTTCGAGGCCAAAGGTGATGTGATGGTAAGGAACGGTGAAAATAGACTTCACGGTTCATATTCTCCATGTCAGAATTTTGAAAAGTATTTTCCTGAGTTTCTGCATTGTCCCAAATACCATAAAACCAGTTCCTAAGATCATGACCAGTCTACATGCTACCATGTTCCTTTATCTCATTGATTGGGTCAGAATTTAATGCCTGCAGGAGAACCTGCAGTTGGACTTCTGTTTATACATCTGTTCCCAAGTAGTAATTATGATCACATCTGTCTTGGGAAATTAGAATTTCTTTTCAGCAGTCTTATAATTCACATCAGAAACCTGGCCTCCGGTGATAGAGGTAGAAAAACCTCACTGAGACAAGACTTGGCCTGAAACAGTGTATCCTACTCTGTTGATTGTTCTTCCCTCCTATGGAAGTCAGCCAGTTCGATGTTCATAGAACTGTTTCTCTCCTAACCAAAATGAAGAGTTTGCTGTGCACCAGCTGGGGTCATTCTTCCACCTTTGACACAGTCAGACCTTTGGTGCCATTTTCCCAGGATCCTAGCTGACCATTTGCCTGCTCCACCTGTGTTCCTGGCAAGGGCACTCAGTCACTAACCTGTTTCCTCTTTAGTAAACACATGGCTTTGGTACCAAATCTAGCCTCTTGCTTTTTGATTTTATGAAAATGTGCAAGTAAACAAGTATCCCAATACTACCTTCTCATGAGATTATTGGTCCCCTTCGAGGATTTTCTAGAATGTTAGAGAACGCTCCTTAATCCTTTAAGACAAGTGTTGCAGAGAAGCACTTCTCAAACTTCTAATGTGCACACAAATCACTTCGGGCATCTTGTTAAAATGCAGATTCTTATTCAGCAATTCTGGAGGTGGGGCCCAAGGTCCTGTGTTTCTAACCAGCTCCCAGCCGATGCCCGTGCTGCTGGCCCATGGACCACACTTGAGAAGCAAGAATCTAGACCTTGCTCTGTCCCTAACCCATCTACAATTCCACATGCACCATTTTTTCTTTTAAAGTTGACGAGGTTGAAGGAGGCACGTTTGAAAGGGTTCTTTCTCTAAGCTCCCTGGAAAGACAGTATGTAGTACAGTTATTACTAATACAACTGTTTATGTTAAATTGTAATGAAATGCGGTTTTTCTGCAAAAACAGTTACAAATCAGCCACTCATTTCCTTGGAGGCTTTCCCCAGAGATTCAGTCTCCGTCCAGAGGAAGCCTCACCGTCTCTCTGAGGCTGGGGTCTTCAGCAGGGAAGGCATGGGGTCTCCACTGCCCCCCGTTTTTCTCTGACAGGACCAACTGGCCGCAGGCACGGAGTGGGGGGTGTTTGAGTGCCGCGTCCTGTGGGGTGCTGGCCAGAAAGGAAGCCCCAGTTAGGGGAGTTCCCCCTCTGGTTTTCCTCCCAGCACCCCCAACTCCTGGCTCTGCAGTGCTGCCTCCTTTTCCCTGTTAGGTAATGCTCTTCCCGCGGCCCACAGACCCCGTTGCTGACTCTCACCTTTTCTCTCCCATGGGTCTGCAGGCCGCCCTGGAAATGCTGCTGCTGCGGAAGCCGGTCAGGTTAAAATGCCATCCTTTAGCAAATTACCACTATGCCGGTAGGTTGCCAGGAGCCTTGTGCCCCACTGCTTCCTAAGAGCAGGCTCTTTGCATGTTTGCTGGGGTCGCTTTTTAATAATAGACCGACCCAGTCCCGTCCTAATCGCCCCTTGTGAGCTCGAGGCCTTCCGGGGCATAGCTGGTGGGGCAGTTGTGTCTGTTGGCTGGGTACCGTTGGGTGTTTTGTGCGGGCTCCCCCCACCCTCGTGGATGTGCCAAGAGCCAGGTGATAGTGGATGGTGCCCGCACGTGTGGCGGTGAGCCTGGTGCATCAGCGGGAAGGAACCACAGAGGGGACAGCACAGAGACAACAACACTCAGCAGCCCCTCAGCTTCGGAATCAGTGGACGTGGGTTCAGATCTCGCCTGCAGCCCTTGGCCTTCTGGAACCTTGGTCTCCTCACCCGTGAAACGGCTCCTACTCCATCCCTTGCAACATTTTTGTGATGGTTAGCGATAGTAGATGTGGCACAATGCGTGGCATATTCTAGTGGCTATTATTCATTTATTGAATAATTATCTATTGAGTACTTGCTGCGTACAAGAAACTGTGCTAAGTACTAAGATAAAACAGGGATTATGACGGACATAGATGGAATCCTACCTCCTGCACTTTGGAGTCTGAGGAGGAAGTAGTCAACAACGGATCACACTCAAGGCAGGAGAAAGACATCTACATATGCGTGTACTGTACAGACACGCGTGCGTATATACACACGGACATGCGTGTATTGTATGTATACGTGCACACATGTCACACATACATGTCCGTGGACAGAATGTACCCTGTGATGGTGCGAGTTAACGATGACATCACCGGTGAGGGGGAAGGAGAAAACACCATTGAGAGTTGAATGTGGTAAGAATCATGAAGAGAGAAGGCGACAGGTTGGGGAGCCTGGAGTGACAAAATGAAGTTGAAATCAACATTTTAATTTCTAGTAATGGGTAAACCTATCCATTCTGAGGGCCTCCCTGAGCCTGCCGGGGTTCTCCATTTCAGAAGGGGCTAAATCCTCCAGTGCCCCTGGGATTGCTAATCATTTGAAGGTCCCTTTGGTGCCTTGGGCAGACACTGTGTAGGTAGGTGCTAAATGCCTAAGTGGGCTTGGGGACCTGGTCAGACCTTTTCTAGACCTCAATCCAGGCAGCCAGATGTGGCCTAAGGTGAGGGCTGCTCTACAAATACTAGAGTGTTCTCGATGAGCACCCCACCGGGCCCACCACCCTTTGCCACACTTACTGTGCCCCTCTCCTGAGCCAGCCTTCCCTCCTGTCATCACAGGGGGAAAAGGCCTCAGAAGTCACTCACTTGAGCACAGACAGCCCTGGATGTCTGCCCGTGGGTCACTGTCAGCACACAGGCCACTTCCGGAAGTCAGCAAGCACAGAACGGACACAGGGATAAGAAATCCATCATTTAGGTAGGGCCTAAGCCAGCCAGTTTCTTACTATCGTCTCCATCACTTCCTGCTTGGTGTCTGCCCCGAGTGTGGGTAGGAAGATGTGGGAGTTCTCCCTAATCTGCCATGGAAACAATGCAATCCTCTTAATTCCCAGTGTCATCTGCTGCCCATTAAACCCTGACAGGCTGTCCAGCCTCCTGGAGCCTATCTCAGGCTTCTTTGTATAGTGGGCGAGACAGTTGATGACAAGGAGCTTCCCAACCATCTGCTGTAGCTGCCCTCACCCGCAGGGTGACCAGGGTGGCTGGCGCCTCTGGGCTGGTCAGCTCCAGCTGTGAGCAACCTCTTGAGACCCAAACCCCCTCCATCCAGTTCTTCCCACTGTGCCAAGCAAGTATTATATTGTTTTATGTGTGTCATGACATAATATTTGGAAAGCTATAGACTAGAAGCCACCCCCCACCCCAAACAAAACAAAACAAAAATGCTGAAATAATAGTAAGGATTTTGAAACTAAACTCTGCTAAAATTAACAATCTTTTAGGGTCCCTAGCTAACGTGTTGCCCTTCCTTGGCCTCCTTCCCCCACAGGCAGACCAGGAAGCCCTCTGCTGCCTCCTGGAACATCTGCCTTCTCCAGGAAGTGATCACAGACCAAGCCCCAGAGAATTTTGTAGAACTATGAGCAAAAAAGTCAGAGGTTCCTGGTTTCTAAAGTCTGGCCTGACTCCATCCCTTAATAGTTCCCTTCCAGGCCACAGAGGAGGCCCCAGGGTATACCCCCATCACATGTTCTAGTTACCAGACACCACTCCTTCTCTCAATTTCGTTCCAAGGTATCAGTGAATCCCATCCCCGTGGCCCCGTCCTGCCTTGGCTTTTGTGCCCTGGTGGGGTTCTCTCCTGTAGGACTCTGTCAGGTTAAGTCGGCATCACCGGGACACTATCTTCTGGATTGCCTTTGGCTTTGGCTCTGTGGCTGTGGCCAGTGTCATCCCACCCCAGCTCCCTGCCCTGGAGGCAAGGCAGAACAACTGAGCTTGGAGGCAGAGGCTACACGTTCGGGGGGAGACAGAGACCCAGGCCTGTGAAAGTCACTTCCCCTGCTTTACTTAGGACGTTTCCCACCCCATCCCAAGCAATTCAGTAAGAAAAGGAAAAAGTGACCAGTGCTGGGGCCCAGGAGAGACACTAGTGTGGGTGGGCAGCTTGCCCGGATCTGGAGGCTGCTTGCCAAGGCCAGAGGAGCCCTGTACAAGATCCTTGGAGGAAGGAAGGTGACATTGCAGTGGCCCCCAGCATGCTAATCCATGGGCACACAGCCCAGCCCTCTCTCAGCACCCTCCACCCATGTGTGGGTAGCAGTTTGCAGAGGCTCCCTGCTAGCTTTTGGGTTGGGTGGGGAAGGCCTGAGCATGGGGGGATCAGGGTGAAGACGCTTGGTTGTGATTAAGGAGCTTGCTGCATCCTTGGATTTTCCATCGAAAAACCATCATTCCTGCTAATGGGTGCGGACACTGGCCTTCTGCTTCCTGGCAAGGGTGCAACAGAGGCCACTGTCCAGCTCCCACCACAGCCCAGGCTCTTCCTGGGTCCCAGACCCTGACCTGACTCTGGACTTGCGGGATTACCCAATCGGTTGGTGAAGGCCTCTTCTCTATCTTGGAGGCTGCCCAGTTTGACGAGGAGAAAGAACTACATACTCAAGAGAATACTTTGCAAAAAACACAGCTGTGATGTCATTTTCCAGGCATTCTCAGCTCATGTCTCTGGCTGGAGAGTGGTCACCTCAAGGGCAGGACCTGAGTTAATACTCTCTGGCCTTGCCTGACACAATGCTGTCACAACCGTAAAGGAATGGTCAGTGGACGAGCTCGAGGTCTGGATTCAGATGGAGGCCTCCCTTCCTTCTGCCTCCAGGGGGAACTTTGGCAGCAGCCAACTTCACCCTCCACCCCTAAAAAATTATTCAGCCTTTACCCACTGTGGAAAACCTTACACAGAAATGAAGATCTGATTCAAAAACAGTCCCCCTTCTCCTGCAGTGAACATGTCTTCCTGGTGTATGTGCAATAACAGCACCATCACAAAAGTTTTTTTTAAGTCTTGAGAGCACGACGGAAGGGCCCTCTTTAAAAGATCCTGAGCCCAATTCTCTCACCGCTCCATGTCTCTTTTTAATTGCCTGGGTTCGCTATAGATCGCCCCAAATTTAGCCACAGTCCAGAGCCTGTTTCCCAGCAACCGAAGCTCAGAACATTTTTCCTCTGGATACTGTTCCAGCACCAGTTTCCTCAGTTAATTAGGCCCTTTGTAATTAGCCTTAATCGGCTTGTTAGGGGCCCCTGCTGATAACAGCCCAATAGCCAGGAATCCCCAGGTAGGACAAATGAGCGCTGGGGGAATGTCAGCCCACTAACCCCGCGTGCATGCTGAGTGGACAGCAGGGATCCTGGAGGGGAAGAAAGGGCAGAGCAACGGGAGAGTTAGAGACAGCCCCCTGCCTCTAACTTGTATTTTATCCTGGACTTTGTCCAAGACACAGAATCCAGGAAGGGCTGGCTTAGAACCTTGTCTAAAAATGTAGAAAGTGCTCCTATCCGACAGAGCCTCTGGGAACGAGATGCCTGAGCCTTGCCTTGATGGGATTACAGAAGGAATTTCGGGGGTTGGGGAGCAGAAGTCAGGGAGCCACCAGCAGCCAGGAGTAAGGCTGTGCAACTGTAGTCACACAGAACTAGGAACACCGGCGCGGATCAGCAGTCTTCCCCAGTGCCATGAATGCATGTCAGCAAGGGACAGTGTGTATGCCATAGCTGTGGGCTGACTTGGAATCTCCTCTCCAAATGGCCGGTGACATTAGTCGTGTGCCTGCCTAGGACCAAACGCTGCTGTCAGGGAAGAGGAAACTGAGAGCCAGAGAAGTTGAGTACCTTTGCCTGAGGCCACAGGAGTAAGTGGCAGAACCGGATTTGCAGACTGGGGTCTCGCAGACTGGGGTCTCGACTGAAGTCACCCCTTTTTTTAAGATTTATTTATTTGACAGCGCGCACAAGCAGGGGGAATGGCAGAGAGAGGGACATGCAGGCTCCACTGAGCAGAGAGCCCGATGTGGGGCTCAATCCCAGGACCCCGGGATCATGACCTGAACCGAAGGCAGCTGCTTAACCATCTGAGCCACCCAGGTGCCCCTGAAGTCACAGCACAGTGCCTTTGTCTGGGAAGAACACGTTCGGGTGTTTCTAGGCTTGGGCCTGGGGATTCAGTCCAGGAGCCCAAGGTTAGATTCTCAGCCCCGTGGGCCATCTCGTGATCAGGATGTCATGAGGATGGACCGTGCTATAGTGTGAGCATAAGAATGCGTTTGCTTGTCTGGCCCCGTCTCTGCCTCTCACTTCATGGATGCCCTTGTTGGACAGACACACGTACACGGTGCTGTCTTGTGCACTAAAGGGCAACCCGGAGGACTATGTACAGGAGCCATCTTTTACTCTCTTGAGCACATGCTCCCTGCCCCGGCCCCTGCAGTCCTCAGAGCGGGAAAGTGCAACCCACTTCCGATCCAGGACGGGATACACAACGAGCACTCTTGGATGGGGGAGACTGAAGACCCCATCACAGAGCAGCAGCCCTAAAAACCACCGAGGAGTCAGCAGGGGGCATTCCCTTCCACCATGAGGCTTGGGGTCCCCCATGACAGATGGTCCAGGAAGCTATTTCCCGTTCAGTGGGGTTCCACCTGACAATCTATATGGAGGCATGAAGGGATATGCTTCTTAAAAGTAGACCTGGGCAGGGGCGCCTGGGTGGTTCAATCGTTAAGCGGCTGCCTTCGGCTCAGGTCATGATCCCTGGGTCCTGGGATCAAGCCCTGCATCAGGCTCCCTGCTCCATGGGACGCCTGCTTCTCCCTCTCCCACTCCCCCTGCTTGTGTTCCCTCTCTCGCTGTGTCTCTCTCTCTCTGTCAAATAAATAAAATCTCTAAAAAAAAAAAAAAGTAGACTTGGGCATTTAACCCTGCTGCTGGGGCAGTAATCAGGTGATGATTCCACTCCTGGCATGGGGTGGAAGCAAGTGTGTCCACCATAGAGACTGGATGCTGGCCTGAGAAGGCTGCATGGCCCTGTTAGTGTCTCATCAAGTCTGAGAGCCCCACTCTAACTTAGGAAACGTATGGTCTGGCTGAGAGCGGAAAGGATTCTCATTGATCTAGTTGGGTGTCATCATTGCCAAGATGTCCCCCGATTCTCCATCTGAGATGCAACCCAGAGCTGCATGGGCTCTGGACCTGCAGCACGGTAGCTTGACCAGGGATTCAGCTGATGTGACATGTCCGCATCATGATGCTCTTCCACCATTGTATTTCTTTTTCTTTTTTTTTTTTAATGTTTTATTTATTTATTCATGAGAGTCAGAGAGAGAGGCAGAGGCAGAGGGAGAAGCAGGCTCCCCGCCTAGCAGGGAGCCCGATGCGGGACTCGATTCCAGGACCCTGGGATCATGACCTGAGCCGAAGGCAGACGCTTAACCCCCTGAGCCACCCAGGTGCCCCCCACCATTGTATTTCTGATTCCTCTTACCTCTTTGCTATTTTGATGGATACCTAAAGGGAACCATGGCTGCTCTTTGGTCATTCAACTGAAGTGTTGGTAATCCTTTCTGTCTCCCTCTTTCTACCTCTGCTCCTGAGCAAGGGGAGCATATTTTTGCTGGGACCCCAAGGCCCTGAATATTAGACAGAATTTGAGGAACACTGATGGAACCATTCTGGAAACCCAGATCGCACTGACTTCCGGTGCTCATGTCCGCTCCAGCAAAGCTTCTCCAAACACCCAGCCTCTCTTCTCCTCCCTATTGTGATGGTTGCACAGCCAGAGATACCCAGCCTCCAGAACCTGTGGAAGATGTTTCTTTCTGCTGAGGATTAATCAGAAAACCGCTTCCCTTCTGGAAATAAAGAGATAAACTTGCAAAACAAAGAAATCAGGTGGTGGCGGCCCTGTGTTTTGGAGTTCTGAGCCAGCCAACTCCGCAGAGCATATTCTGAGTCTGGAGCCAGAGGTCTTGGCCTGATTCACTAATTTTGGCTGAACCTTCCAATGGGGAAAACAATTCAGGTTTCCTATATCTTCATCTTCATCGGTCAACCATAGCAAAGTGGAAATCCCGGGCTTATCCTGGTGAGGAAGGAAAGTATTATGGTTTGGGGGATTATAGCTCTGAAAAGTGGAGGAATGTCAAAGGCCTGCCGTGTACCATCCAAAAAATCAAGAGACGTGGAGAACTCAAAAAACCAGAAAAGTGAGGCAGAGTTTTCTGCAAATCAGCCACAGGAATTGAGCCTTCCCTGGAGCCCCCAGAAATAGGGCTTTTCTTAGAAATAAGCTTTATTTCTTACCCCAACCAGGCCAGGACCACCCAGTATGATTATCTGCATATTGTGCTTTCTAATATATGGAGAGAAGACAAATTTGAAAATCAAGATTAGCCGCTAAGGCAGATGCACCAACCCAGCACTGTGGGGCCTCTTCCTCATTGGTCTTGTAGATCAGGGGCCGCTCCCGCTCACCTCTCCAGCCTCATCTGCTTTCTCTTCGCTGGGAGTTTGTGTTAAACCATACTGGATTACTGCTCCTTCTCTGAACATCTCTGTTTCCTCATCTGTAAAATGGGTAACAGTAATGGCAGTCTTACAGGGTGAGTCTTACAGGTGAAGCCAAATGACTAGTATCTGTGAAGTACTTAGAACCTGGCATAGTAAGCACCTAGAAATTCTAGGTTTTTGTTTTGTTTTGTTTTTTTCTAGCACAGTGTCATGCGTGTAGTAGACACCTAATACTGTTGAATGAATGAATGCATCCATCATCTCACTCTTGGGTCTCACTTTTGCCTCAGCCATGTTTTCTCCCCAGAATTCCCTTCCATCTCCTTCTTGCCTGAATTGTTTCTGTGTGTCCTTTAAAACTCAGCTCAGGTGTTTTCTCTACCTGGAAACCTGACCCTAACCTGAGCGTGAGGCTCACCTTGAACACCGTGGCCTGCTGGTTTGTCTCCCTGCGAGATGGGGAGCATCTTGAGGGTGGAGGCTGCCGAGTCTGCCACATCTTGAGGAGCACTTGCTACGTGAACGCTTGCACTCATGAACAGCATAATTACACAAAAACTACAGCTACAATTTGTTGAGCACTCCCGGTTTTCCAGTTGCTAAGCTAAGCACTTGTGTGGTGCATTATCTTCTTTAACCTTTGCAAAGATCACAAAAGCTGGGGACAATTAGAATTATTCCCATTTGTAGGTCACTAAACTGAGTCTCGGATTCAGTAACTTGCCAAGGTCAAGGCCATAGCTGGGATTTTTAACCCAGATGTCAGGGTTGCTAACCATTACACTACACTGGCTTTTTGTTCAAACGGGAGTTGGATATGTATTATATCACTTGCTAAAGAGTTGTGTTTTGTAACTAAGTAAGCCAGCACCTAAAAGTAGGGAGAACTGTGTGCTGTTCTTAAGACGTTTCTGTTTTGTAGGTTCGGACAAGTGGACTTCCCTAGAAAGAAAACTGTTTAATAAAGCACTAGCCACTTACAGCAAAGACTTTATTTTTGTACAGAAGATGGTAAGCATGCTTTTTCCAATCGCTCACTTGAAATTGAATTTGGGAAATTATACACCTAAAGACGTACAGAAATAATTTGGTACTGATTTAACACTCTCACGAAAAGGATGTCTTCCACCTCTCTCTGGTGAAGGATGTTAGGGTCGCTCGAGTATTAGGGATGTGAGGGAGAAGGAGAACCTAGATTATTTGGACATAGCAGTGGTGGGGGGTTATGTTTATCTTAATAAATACGTGTAATTTATACATCCTATCAGAATAAATAGAACTGGGGCTGTTGGTTTACAATGTACATCATTTATTTCATGTATATTTGACAGATTTATCGTGTTTTGACAATTTTTTTTTTCTGAGAAATTAGAGGAGGGAAGATAGGTGCCTTCCTGCTAGCAAGTAGTGGAGTTTCTGGTATTTGACCCCTAATCATAATGACAGTAGTAATAAAAATAATATTTTGTATATACAGCATCTCACAACAAAATAGAATTTTTCTACACAGATGAAGTAGCACTTTTACAGCAGATAATGAACTTAATAGACCTTAATTGGCTAAGAGGTGAGGTAGTTTAGGCTAAAAGTTAAAATGATTGCAAGAGTGTTTCAGAAAGTCAATGAACAGTGGAGCCGAATTGTGTTATTAAGGTCATTAAAATGTCCAGGTGCACAGAGAACAGAGTAGCAGGTAACAGCTCCCACTGGCTCTGGGCTGGGCCAAGCTGATGCCACCCACTGGGTGCCTGTCTCCTGTCCTTAATCTAGGGCCTTCCTTGATGGACAAGAATCATAACAGGTAGACTCTTCTCCCTCTTGCCCCCATCTCCAGATCTGTATTCACCCCTGCCTTTCCCTACCTGGGAGGCCACCATGCTCTTGAGTGCCCTGTAAGCTCAGCAGCTTCCATGCTCTTTTTTAAAGAGTCCCCTTCCCCCAGGACTGACCTGTCGGAGGCCTCACCCCTTGCAGGCCTGCACCGTGTTGACTGGTGACGGAGTCAGGTGTCGTGTTTGCCAGGCGACATGGCTTTTTCAACAAGTGCTCTCCGAGCCAAATATCCAGTGATGTGAAGGGGGCAACTTCAGGAAGACAGAAGTTCTGGTGGTGCCCCTCTGATCTCATGGTTGGGGTGGCCGGTCTCCACCCTCCAGAAGCATGGCCAGCCTTTTATCTGCCTCCAGAAAACCCATATTATTGAACCCCACCTTGAGCTTGGGAGATCTATGAACTACACAGAGGCATTTTTTTTTCTCTTTAGAATGCATGTACCTTTGCCCCCTTGGGGGAGGACAGGGCAAGGTTTGTTTCCTGCAGAAACTAAGCTCTTGTCACCATAACTTTGCCTTACATTCCTGTTCGATTACTAAGGAATATTTTTCATAAATAGATTTTTGAAGGTCAACCGGCTGGAGAGCCAAATATGCTCAAGCACATTAAATGAAAAAGCATGCTGCTTTATGGGTTAAAAAAAGAAATGAGCTCTCTATGGGCTGACATGAAAAAAGATCTCCAGGCTATATTGTGAAAAAAAAATTCAAGTTGCAAAACAGCATAGACAGTGTGCCGCCTCTGTGAGGAGAAATATATTTTTGTGTTCTTTGGTATATGCATAAAGAGATTCTGGAATGAGACCCAAGAAACGAAGAAGAGGGGCTAGCTGTGTGGCAGGGGTCGGGGGTGAGAACTGGATGGAGGGAGACGAGGCACGGAAGGAGGGTTTTCACTATCTGCATTTTTTTAACTGAATTGCATACACCTATTACCTATTAGAAAATTAACTTTTCACAAAAACTTGTGGCTTGGCACACCGCGCCCTGCTGAGCTGATCTGGAGATGGCTTTCCCGGCAGGTGAAGTCTAAGACAGTGGCTCAGTGTGTGGAGTACTACTACACGTGGAAAAAGATAATGCGCTTGGGGCGGAAACACCGGACACGCCTCGCAGAAATCGATGATTCTGTGGTGAGTGAAGCTGCTCAGTCGCTGCTTATGCGGGCCCCGCTCCCGCCCCACACCCAGGTTAGTAAGTGGCTGGTGTTTGGCTTGGCTTTACTGAGGTGATCACAGGGAGCGGATGGCAGGCCCGCTCCCTGGCCTAGAAATGCCAGAAGGAAGGTGGTCCTGGGTTTGCCCCAGAGCTCAACGCTCAGTTCAGGAGGTGAGGGCTGGCCTGGTTTCCAAGGCAGGCAGGGCCAGGGGAGTGAAGCCAGGGTGGTCCCAGCCTTGACTTGATGGCTTATTAGTGGGTGCCCTTGACCCCCCAGGATATCCTTTCTGATCCATCCGTGTCACAGATGCTGCTGGCCAGAGAACCAGAACCCTCGGGTTTTCCCACAGCGTCCATGAAGCATGACCTAGGAGGAGCTCTGGCCTCTAGACGGTGCCAGGACCTCTCAATTACTGAGGAATAGTTAGCAGTGTGTGTATTATTCTAATCCTTAATCACCATTTATCCTCGAGACTGATTTCCTTCAGTGGCAGACAATCCAAAGTTGTCTGCATATTCAGTATACACTAAAGACATAACACACTAAAAACGAAAGACTTTGAAATCTTCTCCGAACCCCTAATGTGTGGCTTTGGTAATTACTATCACTTTTGTCCTTGTGGTTCACTCTTTTTATCTGCATCCATAGCCAGGGGAAATCTAAAAGCACTGTGGAAATTACCTGCCATGCATGGGTGTGTAAAAATGGCATGTCTTATAACAGATTAGTAAACTCCAGGCTGTCACCATCGGGGAAAGTGTTTGGAATTCATGATTGTTGTGAATATCTGTAATTACACTTTCATTCCCCATCATGCCCTAGTTGTGAGTGTTAGCACATAAGTGGCTTATTTTCTTTAACAGACACTTACATAGCCCTTTGTATGTGCTGGGCCTTGTGCTAGCCCTTTTACCAATACTGACCATTTAATCCTCATAGCCAATCCGTGAGGTAGGGGACTAAGGTACAGAGCCTAGGTAACTTAGCTGTGGTCAAATGGCTGGTGAAGATGTTCTCTGAGCCTGATTCCCTGTGTGATACTTAAGAGCAGTCAAATGCAAATTCTTTTAGAGAAGTATAAAAACTCTTGGACTCATTAATGCCTCAAGGTCCAGGTTCCTACTGGGAATGATCTTAGCTGTGAAATATACACACATATTTGAATTTATATTTGGACCCAGATATCAGGAAAAAATCGACATCTGCATCAGAGGTGATGGTGGTCTGTGTTCGCGGTTTCCCATGGTCTGAGTGGTCAAAGTAGGTGCTGTCTTATAACTGAAAAGCGTTGTTCTCACCTGTGGCCTAATGTTTAAAAAAAGCAATGTGGCCTGTTCTGGCTCGATCAGCTAAACGCAGTTGAGTTCCCACAGTGTAAAGAACAATGCGTATGTGGTGCTGTGGGTGACCTAAGGATGTTAACTAGCCTCTGGCCCTCCTGCCCCGCACCAAGAGCATATACTGAAGTTGGAAGGATGTGGCATATGCAAATGGAAGCTTTAGCATGAACTCCAAGACTGTTTACAAGCAGCATAAGACGAGAACCAGAAAGGCCTGGATAGGGCCTTACGTCCTCTCTCTCATCCAGCTCCACCATGCCCCAGGCAGGGGTTTGAGGCCCAGAGAGGGGAAGGGCTGCCCAAGGTCACACAGAGCATTACTTTCCAGATGAGTGGACCAGACAGCAAACAAGGAGGCATGAAGAATCCTGGGCTTGCAGACCTAGGACCTGGATTCTAAGCTTACTGACCTACAAAATGGGGCAGATGGCTTAGATGATTTGGAAAGTCCCTTCCAGTCCTGAAATGTTCTGGCGTCTGTCAGAGTCATGTTTTGGAAGAAGGCAAAATCAGAGGATATGGTTTCCTAGGGCAAATTGATGTCTTTCCAGCTATGTGTTACCAAGTGCCTAGGGGAGTTCCTGGCATAACATAGATACTCTAAATATTTGTTGAACGAATTGAGTGAACATCATTCCCAGATAGGAGTTACTGTGGATCATAGCAACAGTCCCTCTATGAACTCACTGCAGGGTGATGGGGTGAACAAGGGGATTCAGAGCAAGGGTTTGCTGCTAAGGAAGATGTTACCACATAAGGAAGAGGTGCAGTCGTGGGCCAGCAGGGCTCTGGAGATGCACAGAAAGGCCCAGGCCAACATGTAAACTGAGACTAAGGAGGAGAGGTTAAGATGATGCCCACCTTCTTGGGCTTATTCACCAGGAGCCAGTATTAAGTTGGATCAGGAGAGCATCCCCACCCTTGTTACCTTAAGGAGAGCAAAAAGCTATGTGCAGAGATGACTCAGGCCCATAAAAAAGAAAGAGGGAGGGAAGGAAGGAGGAAGGAAGTCTTGATTTAAGGTCAGCATGGTAGCTCACAGCTCCCTTTTAGGCACAGTCCTAGGGGTCCTGCCCTTTGTCCTCTGGGCCTGCCTGGACCCTGGGATGGCTTCCTGATCATAGGTCCGTAGTGTTTGTCCCAGATAGAACATGATGGAACACACTCAGATAGTTCAGGGACTTTTGTGGGGAGAAGGGAAAAGGAGAGTTTGTGAGGAATGGCTGCTCTTGAGGTAGCCAGAAGGCCAACAGAACACAGTAGCTTACTCAGCTGAGTAGACTTCTGGCCTGAAGCTATGATAGGTCCTTCCACCTTGGAAGCAAAAGAAGGGGACCAAGGTGGGCTCTGTTAGAGATGTAGGAGGAAAGTGCTGATCACACCTCCCTGTCTCCTGCCCGCATTCATGCTCCCACTCAAGGCCAGTCTGTGGATCTGGTTGTAAATTCAGCACAATTCAAGAAACTAAACGAGGAAAGTAGCTGACTTTGGAAGACAGCAGTCAGGACTCCAAGGGCAAAGCTCACCCATGGTCTAAGCACCTAAGTTACTACAACCTGGTCCACTGATGGGGGCTTGGGAAACCTCCGCTGCCCTTCGATATTTACAGGCAGCTGTGGCCAGTGGTTTTGAGGGGTTAAGGTCTCTGTGTTTGGGCTGAAAATCTAAACAATATGCAGAGGAACACATGTTCCCCTGTAGACATTTGCTGCAGGGCCAATAAATGAAGAACGCTGAGGTTTTGAAATCAGATGGTTTAGGTTTCAATCTCAGTTCAACTTCTTTACCAGCTATGTGACCTTGGGGAAAGTCGTTCTCTGGCCAATTTCCTCATTTGTTTAAAAAAGAAAAATGTGTACAGGGTTATCGTGCGCACCAGAAATTTCACGTATATGTATGTGTGTACACGTGTGTGTGTATGTGTGTGGTGCCTAATTCATAGCAGGCATTCAGTATGTTTTCATCCCCATCATCATCATCATCATTAGTAATTGTGATGCTCAGATTTATGTCTCTGAGTAAATTTGGGCTGTCGAGCATTTGTATTTTAACTTACAAATGTCTCATAATGCGAATTCCATTTGCATTCCTGAGAAATAAGAATATCATCTTCCTCAAGAAACTCTTACTGCAGACACTCAAGGTTTTAAGCACCAATGTTAAATATATCACCACCTCCCTATCCTGTATTTGCCCACCTTCTACCAATTTTGGAATATTATTCAGTGTTTCATTTCACAATACATCATGAAATGGCCAACTTGTTGATACAAAGTTGTACATGTTAGGGTTTTTGTCCTCCTATCTTTGTATCTCTTAGTCACTTTGGTAAGCCATATGGCTTGACGATAAATCATGTTGTGAACATGTATAGATTGCCAGTTGAAATAAAACCTATCTAAATTCCAGAGACGGTTATAATCCAGTACAGTGTAATTTAATCTGTAAATTTGTGGCTATATGGAATGTCTCTTTCTAAGAGTTTTTAAGCCAAAAAAAGGTATTGTGAGAAAATTATAATTATAACAAGCACTGTAAAACAGATGCCATTGTCATTAAAAGTTATCGTGTGATCTATTTTAAGTGCCAAGCTATAGACCATGGCCTGCGTAATAAACCAATATTGAGTCCACAGAGTTCTAGTTCTAGAAAGGAACGGAGGGAACCGTTGGAGTTTGACATAACGTGGTTTTACCTGAAACCCCTTGAGATCCAAAGATGATGGATTCACACGGGAATCAGACCATTTAAGTAAAATCAACCCTTGTGTTCTACAGTCATAATTATGAGACCTACAACTTACGTATCATGAATCACTCTGTAAAATGAAGTAGGCCTACATCTGTACTCTTTGAAGTCTTTCAGCAAATGTAATCATTACTAGTTAATCGTAATTAACCCACTGGACACCGAAGCTATTTCTTAAGTACACCCTGTCGCTACATAATCTCAAATATGCATGTATATGGTATTAAATGCAGAGAACAGTGGAACAGTGTCAAAATGTTAAACGCCCCATATTTACTGGCATCGTCTTTCTCCCCTGTCCCCAGTCCAAACTGGAGAGAGAAAACTTGTGGTTTCTGGATCCCAGGGTACTGCTCCACTCTTAGAAATCTTTGTCCTTTTCGGGAATTCTCGCTTCTGGGTTCTAAGAATTGTAAGCTCCCCCAGAGTTACATCCATCTCTCTGGGATAAACCAAACTGGGACCCATGTGCTTTAAGCAGAGCCTGGCAGACAACACAACTGACCTGTCAGGGGTGGAGGCGGCAGGACGTGCCTTTTGTTTCCTCATCTGTAAAATGGGAGGATGTTTCTGTCTTGTTGGGTGAGACCGCAAACATGAAAATGCTTTGTAAACTGTGAAGTGCCGTGAAATAGAAGTTGGAATGAGATTGATGTAACATAGAACTCCCTTTCCCTGGGCCTCAGTCCTTCCTCAGCCTGCAGGAGCCAGCATCCCTCCATGAGGACGGAGGAAGCAGAGTAAGGTAGTTAAACAAGTAGAATGAGGGCCTCCTGCATCCCTGGCCTCCATCCCAACCCTCCCACAGTAGGACGCCAGGCTGCTCCAGTGACTTACTATCTTGTAAACTCTGAGGAAGACAGGATTTTCTGCTTTGTTCTCCACTTGGTTGCTGTTCTGAAGTAGGGGGAGGGGACAGAGTAGCAGTGAGGCTACTGTTTTTCATGTTCTTTTTCATAGAATGCCTCTGGAAGGCATTTCTCCAAGCACATGATGACAGTCCAAAAAAAAAAAAAAAAAGCAGGGTGAGGGGGTGGGGGGTTATCTCTTCCCCTTTCCTCTCCACAAAGTTGTTGACATTCACTCTTGGATTCCATTTTGACAAGAGCAAGCAGGAGCCGGTCAGAGCACCATGGGTCCCATGCTTTCCACAGGCCATGAGTCAGATCAGACATGTGGGGCATCTCATACGGAAATGTATCATAAGGCCTGGAAACAAATCATTATATGGGTCTTTAGTCTCTCTCCAGAAGGGTTTCCACAGTATCATTCCTGCTTGAAAGCCCTCCTCACTGCTCTGGGGAGACAGAGCTGCTCACAAGCGAGTTTTAATCCGTTTCAAGGTCTGCTGGTCTTGAACCAGGGGAAGAAACTCTACACACAGAAATCTCTCCTCCCTGCATTAACATATTTTTATATTACATAAGTGGTGAGGGGACCCCAAAGTGAGGCAGGGGGACTTCCTCGACCTCAAAGCCCCAAACACCCAATGACCGACCTGGTAGAGGCGGTAGCCCTCCCCAGAGGGCTCCGTCCCGTTCCTTAGACAGGATCCCCGTGTTAGCCCCTCTCTCCTCTTCTGGCTGGTGGCTCTGTTTATCACTAAAAATGCCATTTGGGGTTGTCCCCTCTTTTGCTTTTATTGCCTCACCACCAGACGAGTGAAGAAGAAGAAGAGTTAGAGGAGGAGGAGGAGGACCCAGAAGAAGATAGGAAATCCACGAGAGAAGAGGAGAGCGAAGTGCCCAAGTCTCCCGAGCCACCGCCAGGCCCTGTGCTGGCTCCCGCGGAGGGGCCGCCCCTGCAGGCCCTCAGCCAGCCCTCCGGCTCCTTTATCTGTGAGATGCCCAACTGCGGGGCTGTAAGTGTCGCTGCGTCCTCGGGGGACCTGGGACTAGGAGGGCGGTGGGCTGTGCCTGGCTTTAAGGACAGGGCATTTTAGAAAGGGTGCACTTGCAGCAAGGAAAGTTTCACAGAGGAGACTCCACATTGCCATGGTTTTGTCTCCTATCTTTTCGTTTCCTTATTCGTTCAGCCGGCAGATGTTGCTGTGCTGGGCGCTCAGGGGCCACAGAGAAGGTCCCCGCCCCCTGGGAAGCATATGATACAGAGCTCTTCAGAGCCGCTGTGAATGGTTCTGCAGTGAGCCTTGGACTCCAGAACTTACATCCCGTGTTTCTTGGTGCCCCTCCACCCCGCGGGTCCGTGTGCCACTAGGTCCCGCCCTGTAAAGCATGCACTGAAATGCCGTGGGGGAGCCCACAGAGAAGGTTTTGCCCTTTCATTACAACTTGACCCCATTCCTGGCCATCTCACCTGTCCAGAAGATTTTGCAAAGTTTCGTATTCCATCAAGTGTTACTCATTCAAATGTCATTAATTTGAAATTTGAGAAAGTCATTACAAAGATTTAGCTTAAAGGGGCGCCTGGGTGGCTCAGTCGTTAAGCATCTGCCTTTGGCTTAGGTCATGATCCCGGGATCCTGGGATCGAGCCCCACATCGGGCTCCCTGCTCCGTGGGAAGCCTGCTTCTCCCTCTCCCACTCCCCCTGCTTGTGTTCCCTCTCTCGCTGTAATATAAATAAAAGTCTTTTAAAAAATTAAAAAAAAATTTAGCTTAAAGTTTACCTTGGTACTCTTCGGGGAGAACCAAAAAAATTTTTGCTAAGTAAATTAATCATGTAAATGTATAAATAAAAATCTTTTAAAAAATTAAAAAAAAAGATTTAGCTTAAAGTTTACCTTGGTACTCTTTGGGGAGAACCAAAAAAATTTTTAGTAAGTAAATTAATCATGTAAACGGGCTGAAGGGGAGTCTGTATAATTATTGAATATAGTACATTTCAAGTACGTTGGAAATATCGTTTAGCTAAAATAAAACAAATTTACCGTTTGATCATTCTTGGCACTAAGGAAGGCCTTACAGAATCTATACTGGTCTGGTCTAAGGCTCCCATGTATTTTAAAGGATATATTTTTTTAAGCTGTTAACTTTAGACTTTCAGTCCCCCACCAGTCCCCCACTAGTCTGAATTGATGAACTTTTCCCGAATCAGATTTCTTAAAGCCAGGCACACCTGTACAGGTGCATTCTAGAGGTACTACTCAAAAAAAATGAGAATGTTACTCCTTCACAAGAAGCCATTTTTTCCAAGCTGGTGTACATCTTTGCTTGTATATTATACAGGACAATACTGTTTTCCAGAGTGTATTGAATGCTGCTTGAGGATTCTGTCACTTAGATGGAGAAAGCAATAGTCTTTAAAATATTTAGATCCTAAAGCAGAAATTCAGGGCAAACCTCTAGTAACAAAAACTAAGAAAAAAATGAAAAAGTAAGAAAAAAAGATATATACATTTTACATTAGCTGCAAAGAGAACATAAGAAATTGCTAGCTTGTTTCTGTCTTTGATGTTTAATGACCTGGAAGTGTCACCGCATCATTTCCATTTTGTATAGAGCGCTTCCGTTCAGGGATGGTTAAGGTGTGACTTTAAATGACAATATTTCTGGGTGAATTTGTTTAGAAATTCACTGTTGCGTCAATTCATAGTTTTGGTGTACGGTAAATCCTTGACTGGAGTGGGAAGTCATCTTTCACTTTTCCCAATCAGAAATGCTCAGCAAGCTGGTTATTTTTTTTAATGATTTTTAAAATTCACAGGGAAAAAGCATGTTGGTTTTATTCCTTGCCTAAGCCTGGAGGTTTGGGTTGCTAAATCAGCCATAGATTTATTTTTTTCCCCAGTAAGACCATAAACAGAACTCATGAATTTCACACAGAGCAAACCACCTACTAGCTCCATGGGTATGGCTGTTAGCTGATGTGTTTAACAAGCTGGAAGTCGGGGCTCTTTGAATTCAGGGGAGTGGATTGCATCTCTTTACAGTAGCGGCGCTCGACTGGGAATGATTTTGTTCCCCAAGACTCTTTGGCAATGTCTGGAGACATTCATGTCACATCTGGAGAGGTGCTGTTGGCTTCTCCTGGGCAGAGGCCAGGGATGCTGCTAAACATCCTACTTAACACGGCCCCCCTCCAACAAAAACTATCCAGCCCCAAATGTCAGTCATACTGAGGTTGGGAGAACCTGCTTTATGGCAAGTTTCAAAAGACTGTCCAGGTTCGTCCTGCCCCTTTTTATCATCCCGCAGTAAAATTTGGGAGTCTGAAACATTGCTTTGACAATTGGCCACTGATTGAGGCTTGGACGTAATATACAGAATTTATCAGAGCAGCTAATCAGTGTCTTTCCAACTATGTTTCTTGGGATGCTAAGGCTTTCCGTGCTGGGGAGATAGAGCTGAGCAAATTGGCTCACTTCTGGGGTGCTGCCTCTATTTCGGCCAGAGCACCTCTGCTTTTAACTTTGAGCTTTTGAGCAAGACCTGATTTGTTTTGATTTGTTTTTCTTAAAGTAAAAGAAAGAAAGGAAAGGGGAGGAGAAAAGAAAAGGGGGGCGGGGCAGGGAAGGGGGGAGGTCATTTCCAACTTAAAAAAAAGAGTTTGAAAGCTGGCCAACTCCCTCACCTTACAGATGGAAAAAAAAAATCAGGTGTACAGAGGGGAAATGGCCCAGCGGCCCTCCCTGTGAGACAGAGGTGCTGGATCTCGCCCCCCCAGTGCCCTGACTGCTAGACGGCAGCTCTGTCCTTCAGACTGTGCTGCACGCAGTACTTCCTGTCTTCTGGTTGTAACAACGATGTGTTTTTTTTTTTTTTAGGGGTGCAGTGGTAGTATTTGACCTTGACCTTTTCATGCCTGTGTCCAAAGTTTGCTTACTTAAAACCCCCGCACGCCATCATTAGACACTGTTTCAAGTATCCTGTGTTTCACCACTGAGTAACTAATAACCCTAATTTCCTTTTCAGGACTGTAGATGTCATGTCACTCCCTTTCTTCCCCAGGTGTTCAGCTCCCGACAGGCACTGAATGGCCACGCCCGCATCCACGGTGGCACCAACCAGGTGACCAAAGCCCGGGGGGCCACCCCCTGTGGGAAGCAGAAGCCGGGCAGCACCCAGAGTGGGTACTGCTCGGTGAAGAGCTCCCCCTCTCATAGCACCACCAGCAGCGAGACAGACCCCACCACCATCTTCCCCTGCAAGGAGTGCGGCAAGTACGTGCAATTGGACCGGGCACTGAGTCTGAGTTCCTGATGAATCATTGCTCTTGGGGAGGCCGGGCCAAGATGCTCTGAGGTTCCTTCAGCTAGAAAAAGAACCCAGTGTCTCCAAATACTCCCTTGTATCATCCTTGCGGTCTGCACAGAGCCTCAGGGTGGGTGGACCTCGTCTCTGACTCAGAATATGGTCATTCTGATATCCTCATGCCTAATAAGGACAGACAACTTCAAGGCAAACCTCTAGTAACAAAAACTTCAGTCTTTTTCAGAAATGGTGAGTGGGACTTGGATTCCCACTCCATCCCTTCACACCCAAACCGTAGTCACGAGTGGGGCTTTCTTTCCATTGCTGCTTAGTGATTTGAGAATGGCTCTGAAACACCTATCAGGAACTGTCTTCCCACCACTGGCTCTGGCCTGTGTCTGGGGCAGCCATCACTAACTGATTGCTGCACTCTTCGCTATCATCTTAAGACAGGACCTCAAATCTTTTCCATTGGAATGCTTCAAGCAGGCATAACCAATGGATTGGGATGACTCAGGAGATAAAGCCTATTTGTCATGCCTGTCCTTTTATGTATAATTTAAGACAACTAAGAGAAAAACTGGCAGTAGGCAGTAATATAATAACATCTAACGCTTGCTGGGCACTCATTTTGTGACAATGCTTTATGGCAGGAGCTCATCTTAATCCTCACACAGAAACCACATGTGATGCAGGGGCTGTTTTTATCCTTGTCATACAAATAAAGATTCAAAGTTAGGTAACTATGACTTGCCTCAGGTCACACCCCCAATGAGAGCAGAGCTGAGATTTGGACCCATCTCTGTTGAAGGGCAGACCCCGGGCTCCTGACCACCGCTCCATGCTATTGGTCTGTTTATTTTAGGTGGAAAATATCACTGTTGATAAGATGCACAGCGTTCCTTCCCACAGCATCCAGTGTAGAATTCCACTTCTCAGTGAGTCCGCCTGACTTGGAGGGGTTGTCATGAGTGACTTCCTTTAGCCTCCCTAGTTGTATGAATGAGGCCAACTGGGACCTCTGCTTATGATACTCATTAGGCTATTTCACACAACTTACCAGTCCCTGCCATTTATCAGGTACTGTTTGCCTGGGACGGTTTTAAAGGATTTGCACAGGTATTGATTCACTTAATCTTTAGCGCAATAGGGTAGACACTTTTAGTAGCTGCTTTTTTGACGAGCTGAGAAAATGAGGCACAGAAAGGGTGAGGTCTTTGTCACAGTGCACATCTGAGTCGGGATTCAGGCTCTGCAGCCTGACCTAGGCCGGCGCTCTCAGCCTCTGAGTGGACCTAACTCCGTCTGGTGGCACTCACCACGGTGAGGTGGAATTAGAACAGTCTTCTCTCTGTGAAGCACAGGGATGGGGGAGATGGCTAGTTTAGCCCCCCTGTGTTCTCATACCCTTCAGAACCATGACAAGGCATCACCTTCATCTTATCGCGGAGAAGTGAGCCCCCAGATGGATCATTAGGCTTCCTGACTTGAAGGAACCATCTTCAGGCTGATGCCCTTTATCTCCCATCTGTCCCCTGAGGGGAGCTAACACCTCCACTCACTGGGCTACACACAGGCCACAACTCTTTATCCCACCAGGTGGAGACAAAGAACATTTTAACAAACCAGAATTAGCATCTTGAGCTTTCTGGCTGTCTCTCAGTGACATCCATTAAATGTTTTCCTTGTCTTTGTTTTTATGTTGCTTGGGACCTTTTAATACCATAACTCCAGTTAAGATTTTGTGGAAAATAGAAATATTTTCTGTGGTTTTCCGGAGTAGGAATAACAGGCAAATGTTTGCAGAATGCCTGTTTTAGCTGCTGAAATTATGTTCATTACATGAAACGGTTTCAATACGGGCAATTGTGATTCATCAACTCTGCTTGTCTTAGAAATCAGAGGTTTTTTTTCATTTCCCTTTATGAGCTCAGGAATGAATGCAGGGTATTTGTGCCACCCCCTCTCCCGAAAGAGGCAGCCTCACATCTGGGCAAACAGTTTCTGAAAAAGGTTCAGGGAGAAATATTTAAGGCTTTGCAGGCCATACAACCATTCAGTCACCGCTATTCAGCTGTACCATTGCCAGGCAGAGCAGCCATAGACGGTCCATAAGCAAATAGACACGGCCGTGTTCCAATAAAACTTTATTTACAAAAATTCAGTGGGCTGGATTTGGTCCACTGACCATGGTTTGCGGGCCCCCTGTCTTGGAGTTTCTCAACCTCAGCGGTGACATTTAGGTCTGATCAGTCCTTGTTTGTGGAAGAAGGGGCCGCCCTCCATGCTATAGGATATGTAGCCACCTCCCTGGCCTCTGCCCACTGGATTCGAGAAATACCATCCTGCCCCTTGAGTTGTGACAGTCAAAAATGTCTCCAGATATCAACAAGTGTCCCTGGGGAGGCAAAATCACCCACAGCTGAGAACTACTATTTCCTTCTAAAGCTAAAAGGAGGAAATTATGATAATATGATGGCCAATGAGAAGGGATCTTGGGTGAAAAGGAGTAGTGGGTGTAGCTCAGAAGTCAGGTACAATAAAGATGGAATGGGGGGCATTGGATTTGGCCACACAGAGTGACGAGTGGCCTTGAGCAGAGGGTTGGGGCTGCAGTGGAGGGGACAAGAGTCCAGTTGGAGAAGGTGGAGGGAAGAGGAATATACCAAGTGTGAAGAATCAGGTAGAGCCTTCAAGAAATTTGTGGAAGAACAGGGACAGAAGCCAAAGGCAGATGATGGGTTTTATTATGGGAACTATGAGAGCTCAGCAGCATGCTTGAGGGATTCTCAGATTCTGATGGGATTCTGTTGGGATGAGGCGAGAAAGGGGGAAGCTAAAGGAGGAGAAAAGCATGTGCTGCCCACCATAGATGGACAGGAAGACCTTTGAGAACTCCCTCTCCATTGTCACACTGTACGTGTGCTCCCGTCCGCATCCCCTCTCCCTTGTAATGCTCGGAGAGGGCGGGCAACAGGAGTAGGAGGTCCTAGGTGGCCCAGGGACTCCCGACAAAGCCACCCAGACCAGATGTTAGACCATGCAGCCCCTGTTCCCTGTAGGGCACCCGGATTTCCAAGAACTCCAATCTCCTCAGTTTCACACACTTCTTTTTCTTCATCTTTAGAGTCTTCTTCAAGATCAAAAGCCGTAATGCGCACATGAAAACACACAGGCAGCAGGAGGAACAGCAGAGGCAAAAGGCTCAGAAGGCAGCTTTTGCCGCCGAAATGGCCGCCACTATCGAGAGGACCGCGGGGGCGCCGGGGCTGCTGCCCCTGGACCAGCTGAGCCTGATCAAACCCATCAAGGACGTGGACCTCCTCGATGGCGACGTGGTCCAGCAGTTGGGAGGCGTCATGGAAGAAGCTGAGGTCGTGGACACGGATCTCCTCTTGGATGACCAAGATTCGGTTTTGCTTCAGGGTGACGCGGAACTATAAAGCCCCGCTTGTCACGCAGAGACAGCCAGCACCCACGGCCTCCGTCTTCGTTAATCAGGAAACCCGGACTCCCTGCTCGCTTTGTAACCATTTTAAACTACCTGTTTAAAAAAGTGGTCGTTTCATTCAGGTTTAGGGAAAAAAAAATTTTTTTTTTCAGTTTCTTTTCCTTTTATTTAAAAAAAAATCAATGTTTCTGTGGGAGGTTGGAGGGAATAAATAATTGGCACAACTCTATTTAAGAGGTGTTTCATCTGGGCTACATTCCTACGAACTCATTCCTGGCAGGGAATAAACCTGACCTTCAATGTTCTTTTGCTTTCAGATGTCAACCATCCTTGCTGCCTTTGATCCCAAAGCTTGCCATGAGCGTGTGGATGCGTGTGCGTGTGTGAAGCAGGCTACCCTCTTCGTGTTGGGGCCTTGGGCCATCCTTTCCCACTAAGAGTTATTTTTGTTCTGTTCTGACCTCATTCTGTAGTTTGCAGTGAACCCGGAGTCTCTGCCAGAAGATTCTGTGCTAAGGGGTAACTTCCCAGTGAGCAAAGCAAGCCCTCGTGTGACACGGCTTTCCTCTAGCACATACACCATTTGGAAAGTTGACCAAATGTGAAAATAAGTTTTCTCCCTGCCTCGCCTATGTCCGTTGGCCTGTTTCCAGGAGTACTGTACAATTTCAGGCTTTCACTCCAATGCCGTGCTTTACGGAGGACCTGGTTCCTAGAGCAAGTGCGTCCTCTTGCCTGCTCCCCGGGGAACTAGTTGGTTCCGATTCGTGGATTGGCAGAGTCATGTCCCAGCTTGAGCCATCTAGAGGAAAATAACCTCAACCATGAAGTTGCCAGGGCTGTTTAGGGAGAGTGGTTGAGGGGCACACATTCTGGAACACCAAGAAGTGTTCTTTTGCCCAAAAACTACAGACTGGAAGAGCCCCTTTTTTGCAACACTGTTAATGGTCCGTGGAGTTCTGGAATTACTTTGTACCACTTGGAAGTACTGTGAAACTTCATTCGCTGGGATTTTGCTGTCATTCACCTTTGCTGGACCGTTTCCTAACCAATTTAATAGCAAATACAAGTGAAATAGCATTAAAGACCAACAATAATGGTTTCAGATACCACGTTAGCTACCAATATTTGCATTCAAACAAGGAATGTATTCATTCAAGTCATTTACCAAAGCACTTCTAGAATTCTCCAAGCTACAGAACTCTGCTCTGCTTCTTCCTGTCCCTATAGCAGGGTTGCTGTTTGTACTTGAAGGTAATAAGCCTGTAATCCTTCAAAAATGGCATTTAGCTCAGGCTTTTGAGCTGAGTCAGACTGCCCCCTCCCCCGTTGGGGCAAATGAGCACGTGTCTTCAGACTGGGACGCAGCCCAGCAGAGAGGACCGCCCCTGGAGGCCTTCCCTTGAGCATTAATGCTGCCTGACTCCCAGAAGGAGGGCTTTCAGGCCTTGCCCCACCCCAGGTAGGCTGGTTCCCCCAGCTTGTGTAGGTGTGGCCCGTCGTGCCAGGCTACTTTGCAGGCACATTAATTAATAGCTTGACATTAGAGAGAATGTCAGCAGAAGTATGAGGACAGGACCTGAGCATCTTTTAAGTTTGACTCTGGCAGAAGCATTTTAGCACAACACTGCAGCCCACCACGGCTCCGCCTAGGCAGTGTTCTCTGAATCTCAGGAAAGCCACGGACGGAAGATAAATATAAAGGTTCTTTTCGTTTCCATCATTCTGTTTTCAGAAAAAAAGTTCTTGGCAGTTTCATTCATCCTTTCTTATAAGGCAAAAAGAAAGGTTTTATTTGCTGCCATTTTAGACAGGTTATTCTCTCGTCTGTTTCGAGTTAGAACTGCCTAGGCAGTGTGCATCAACTCTGTGGCAGAATTGTTCCAGAACCATTCCGTAAGATCAGCTGATTTGATTGCGTCTGTCCCGGTGACTGCTTCCCCCTGCGTGTGCCGGCGTCTGAGAGTGATTCTGGAATGGTTCCGCTATCGGGTCTATGAAAGCTTATCTATCAAAGGAGCAAACACCCAGAAACATGTTTATAAAGCAAATGTACTTGCTGTGTTTGGAGACTTGCCCAGCCGTTCCAGTTTTAAACATTAAAAATAAACTGAGTTGCCAAGGCAAAAAATGTAATGCACAATTTAATTTTGATTTTTCATGCAGTATAATGTAAGCATCTTTGACTTGAAATAACCAAAGAACTCCTCCTTAACGAGACAGTTCAAATTCCTGAAGAAGTATTTCTTGACAATATCAACTTAAAGAATTGACTTCATGGTAAAATATTGCACTTATTTTCCTTCTGCAATGATTCTGCCTGCATGTATGTGTTCTGTTTTTGCTTCTCTCACCCTCCCCGCCCCAAAGAACTTCTCTTCCTAAAGATTAATGTCTTCAACACCGTTACTGTTTACTATCAGATGGTTTTTCATTAGTGAATTTAGACCTCTTTGAGAAAGCTTGTATATAAAAAGTTAACAGATATATTTTATGGAAAAACCCATCTTATTTTCAAATATATTTAACTGCTGTTATATTTTATTAGAGGAAGGTTGTAAATATTTTCTAGGAGTTCTATTGTAAAGAAAAGTATTTTTGAAAAAAATTAATGTAATAAAAACGAAAACATTTTTAAATAGTGTTGTGATTGCTTCCTGTTCTGGCTTCGTTATGTTCTATTCTCAGCAAATGACTTGCATGCCTTCCCATTTCAGGATGTAATTTATTCAAGTTTGCACTATTATAAGTTGACATCATAATATTTAGTGTACTTAACTGTATTTTCCCCGGAATGCAGGTCCCTTGGTCCGTATCCAAAGCACTATGTATGAGCATCTTCATAATTTTTTCTTTTGTAATGTGTGTATTTTTAATAAGGATTTTATGTAACATTTTGGCAAAGAGAGGGCAGTATTTTCTAGTGAATTTTATAATACATTTTGCTAAAAATGTTTCTTCCTAGGTCAGTTTTTGTTAAGGTGAACCAAAAGTCTTATTTTACCAGGGGCTTAAAAAAAAAAAGTTTGAAGCTTGAAAGCAAAGTTATATTTAAACATCATATGTAACAAACAAATAAAGATGTTTTATAGACTTGTCCTAAAAAGGTGCATTCCTTCAAAATAAAACAGGCATTCTAGGTTGGTTTTTTCCCCCAGAGTGGAAAGCATTTTTTTTAAAGTTCTCACAATCCTTTTTTCAGAAAGAGAGCCAGAAGAATTTTACTTAAAAGGTTCCAGTCATTAACCTTCTCAGAAATTTATTATAGTTCCTATAGATAGGCATTCATCAAACAGAGATGTAACCAAATAGACACTGTCCTATTTATTTGTGAAAACCTGATTCGATACTGCATCAGTTGCTCTGAAAATAAAATGTTATCTTTTTGAGTTTCATTTGGCTTAAACATTCCTTCTTTCTAGCCACTGAAATGACTTCTCAATGCTGGATAAATGCTAATTTACCTGTTAGTTGGCTTCTGTAGACCGGTTTAGAGGTCTGCTGATGAGATTTAATGGCTCATTAAAGTGCCCCCTACATACATCCTAGAGGCCAGGACATGAGCCCCTTGACGGGTTGGTGGTCTCTACACCATACTGCCCAGGCTGCAGCTTAGGGGACTCAGTATCACACACGGGTAGCTCACCGTGAACTTGCCACAAAGTCCCATCCACCCTGGTGTATAGGCATTGCTAGACTGGATTTCCAAATTCTAGAGTATGTTTACTTTTTAATGATTAAAAACAAACCTGGGGTGCCACCCAGGTGTCCCAATAGATAAATCTCTGAATTTATTTATTCAAGAGAATAAATAAGAATTTCCATTCTGGGTTTTCTACAGAATTTGCTTTAAGTGGGGCATACCTGTTCAAGACCTTGATCTAGGTTCTTTGGGGGGTTTTTTTACTTTAATATATTTTTAAGGTTTTATTTATTTATTTGACAGAGACAGCGAGAGAGGGAACACAAGCAGGGGCAGAGGGAGAGGGAGAAGCAAGCTTCCCGCTGAGCAGGGGGCCCGATGCGGGGCTTGATCCCAGGACCCTGGGATCATGGCCTGAGCTGAAGGCAGACGCTTAACGACTGAGCCACCCAGGCGCCCCTATTTATTTATTTTTAAGTACTTTATTCATTTGAGAGAGAGAGAGCACAAGCAGAGGGAGAAGCAGGCTCCCCGCTGAGCAGGGAACCCGATGTGGGGCTCGATCCCAGGACCCTGGGATCATGACCTGAGCTGAAGGCAGACGCTTAACCAACTGAGCCACCCAGGCGCCCTACTTTCATATTTAGCTATCAGTTTTAGACAGTTCTGTATAAATAAAATAGCTATTCCTCTAGAAGCAGTGTGCATGTAGCCAGTGTTGTAAATTTAAATTCTGCTTGCAGAGGTTCACGTGTCCAATCCGAAGATGTTTTCCTATGTTTATATTTATTCATTCAGTACTCATGAACTCCCTGTAGAAGACACTATTCCTCACTGTATTATACATGGGGGAAGAGAGTATATAAAGATGACCAACATTCCTTCCTGCCAATTTAATACTTAGAACACACAGGGCCTGGGACTTGATTTAATTCCTCCATTGCAGGGGCGCCTGGGTGGCTCAGTCGGTTAAGTGTCTGTCTTCTGCTCAGGTCATGGTCCCAGGGTCCTGGGATCGAGCCCCACATCGGGCTCCCTGCTCAGCAGGGAGTCTGCTTCTCCCTCTGCCTCTCCCCCCAGCCTGTGCTCTCTCTTTTAAATAAAGAAATAAAATCTTTAATAAAAAAAAATTCCTCCATTGGGAAGAGCAAAGGTCATGTTTTATTAATAATCTGAACCACTTACCACCACTGCCTCCCTCAGCAATGTATATCAGGTCCTCAGCAATGATTTGTTAAATTAATTATAAATAATAATATAAATAAATAAATTGATTAATTTCCTCTACTCTTCCAGGTATGCTTATCCGTGCGTGCGTGCATTTGTGTGTGTGTGTGTGTGTGTGTGTGTGTGTGTAAATAAAGCCTCTTGAGTGTACCTAAAGTCAATTCTGACTTTCACAGACTCCCAGTCTACCTTCCTCAGCCATAGCCAGCCGGCTGAGGTGTGCTCTAGGAATGAGGATGAGTTTTAATGTTGACACAAGCAAAACGTAACTAAGAAAACATGTTAATAAATTGAATAATATGTTCCTAACTGAACCATAGATGATCTTTGGATCACAGATATCCCCGTATAAAAGAGCCAAAGTGCTGATTACTTCCTTTATATAAGAGAGATCTTGCGAAAAGGGCTGTCCTCCCCACCCCACCCCCTGCCCCAAGGTAAGTGTTTAATGCTTCTGTTTGAGTTGTAAAGGCCAGAACAGCCATACATGCTTGTTTTGCATTCCAGCGCACACACACTTACCACACTGATGCTTGCTTTGGGCTGTTTTAGGTCATAACTTCCTCTGCTTGTGTAACTTCATTTTTAGCTGTAATTGGCATTGTTAAAAATCCCTTCACTGATAAATGGTTGACATACGAAAAGCTATACATATTTAACATATACAACTTGATGAGTTGTATCTTTGGAGATAAGTATATACCTGTGAAGCCATCACAATCAAGGGAAAAGGGCTGTCTTTTAAAATAGAACAGCTGGTGCAATCAAAATATGTTAGAAATATATGACTCACATACTTTTATTCTTCCTGAATATAAAGCAAGTTGTACTTGCCTCAACTGCCTAGAATTGTTTGGCCTCCTATTCATCTTACAGTAAGTCAGATGTTTGAAAGTTTAGGTAGGAGGGAAGAGGCCCATAATGGCTGGGTCAAGCTGCAGAGCTCTGTCCTTGCCTACACACCATGGCAGAGAACACCCCCTTACGGTCCCACTGCTGGCAAGACCTGGCTTTTCCCCTCCCAATGACTCTCCCCTTTGCCCCCAGTTAACTGGACCTGGGCTGGCACCTGACCCCACTCTATTAGGCCCATAGGCTGCTTGGTGACACGCAATATGGCTTGGCCCAGGAAAATGCGGGAACCAAATCAAATCTCCAAGTTTGAGGGTATGAATAGAGAAACTCAGTGAGCCAGAGGCAACCAGCAATGGCCACATGCCAGGCAGAGCTCTGGGGGAGCAGAAGCTGTTTGTGAGCAGGGAAAGCCCACCATTAGAGAGACCATGTGTGGCCTCAGAAATGGAGAGGGTATCAAGTCCCTAAGTTGCTTTGAACCTACTTTTCCAGTTTTAGGAGTAGTTCAGGCCATGTGTCTTTAAAAATAAAAATAAGCCCTTTCCTCTTCCAGGGAGGTAGGGGAGTAGGGATCTCTATTCCTCTAATCCACAGGGACTTACACAGAACTGGACCTCATCACAGAGTAACCCACTGCAGAGGTAGAAAGGTACTGAGCTAGAATTTTGAAGATGGTTATTGGTTCAGCTGTAACTAATTCATATGACTTTGAGTCATTTCATCTCTGAGCCTCAGTGTCCTCGCCTATAAAATTAGGATAAAATTTGTGTCTTCCTGTGAGGATCAAATTAGGTGAATGTCACCATCATTGTGGCTGCAGAACACTCACCCAGCAGAGACTACTCAAAGCGGGCAGGAGGCAGGCTGAAAAGCTGTCGCAGAAGTGCCATAAGAGAATCGGATGCAAACCTCAGAAGTAACAACAGAGTTGGAGAGCTACTGGAGAACCCCACTGGCTGGGAGAGACCAGCCAACTTTGAATGTCACAATTCAGAGAGGGAACCTAGCTCTGAAAAGGGCACTGGGCAGCCTGCCAACGTTGGGCACAGTCAAGGATAGTAGAGGTGCGGGTGTAAGTTGTGGTGTTTACACACTCTGGTGTAGAAACAGACTGCACTTCTCTGCCACACCTCCACGTGGACAGAGTTCTAGTGAAAAGAAGCTAGTCTGAGGGACCCCAAAACTAGTTTCTGTTCCTATCCTCATCAATTTGTGTGATGTTGAGAAAATCATGCTACTTCTTCCTTGGTTCTCTTGCCTACAAAGTAAGGGTGAGTGATACCTACTTGGGAGGGGGGAGAATATATTTGCATAATACTTTAGTTAGAATGTACGAAATGTTCTCATAAACCTGATCTTTTTTTTATTTTTATTTTTAATCCGGTCAACAATCTTGCAAGGCAGGTGAGGTAGAAGCAATTTTTTTTGAAGATTGACTGATTGATTGATTGGGGCGGGGGAGGGGGAGGTGGGGAGTGGTAGAGGGAGAGAGAATCTCCAGCCAAGTCCTGGCCAAATGCGGAGCCCAATGCAGGGCTCGACCCCACGAATCCTAGATCCTAACCCAAGCAGAAACCAAGAGTTGGACACTCAACCGACTGCACCACAGAGGTGCCCCAGAAGCAACTTTATGTTACAAATAGTGGATGATATTCACCTTGCATCATTATGTGCTGGGCATTATACCAAACCGTCACACATCCCCATCTCATTTATCCTGCATAGCAACTATTTGAAATGGGAACTATTGGGGCGCCTGAGTGGCTCAGTCAGTTAAGCGTCTGCCTTTGGCTCAGGTCATGATTCCAGGGTCCTGGGATCGAGCCCCACGTCGGGCTCCCTGCTCAGCGGGGAGCCTGCTTCTCCCTCTCCCTCTGCCTGCAGCTCTCTCTCTCTGTCAAATAAATAAATAAAATCTTTTAAAAAAAAATGAAATGGGAACTATTGTTATAATCTCTAGTTGATATATGAGAAACTTGAGGCTCAGAGTGGGCAAGTAAACTTGCCCACAGTCACTCAGCTAAGTGGTAAACCCAGATTTCCCAATTATAAGTCTAAAGTTTTCCATTATGCTGAATTGCATATGTGAAAACACCTGGGGAAAATAAAGCTTAGAGAATGGCACAAATGGAAGAGATTATTATTATAGCAAACCCCAGTTAATAGCTTTTATAGGGGGTGCCTGGGTGGCTCAGTTGTTAAGCATCTGCCTTCGGCTCAGGTCATGGTCCCAGGGTCCTGGGATCGAACCCCATCTTCGGGCTCCCTACTCTGTGGGAAGCCTGCTTCTCCCTCTCCCACTCCCCCCGCTTGTGTTCCCTCTTTCGCTGTGTCTCTCTCTGTCGAATGAATAAATAAAATCTTTAAAAAAATAAATAAAAGCCTTTTTAGTTGGAGCTAAATTATGGTGGACATTAATAACCATTTTTTTGGTTATAAAACTTTTGGTCTTGTGGTACTTGGTAATGTCAGCAATTGTAAATTCTGAAATACTAGAGTAACAGAAGGAAATGAAGACTTAGGAAGATCTGTAGGACAGTGGTGTACAGGATGGTGCGGGGGTCACAAAAATGTCAAATGGTGTGGGGAAGGAATATAGGATTAAGGAACATAGAAAGGCTATTGAAATGAAGTAAAGGGATGGGACCTAGACTCATTGCAGTAGTACTTTTCCTTTTTTTTTTTTTAAGATTTTATTTTTAAGTAACCTCTACACCCAACATGGGGTTCAAACTGACACCCTTGAGACCAAGAATCACATGCTCCACTGACTGAGCCAGCCAGACACCCCGGGGTCTTTTCCTTTTAATGAAATACAAATTTTGTTAAAATTTTTAAAAACACAGAAATGGGAAAATAAATCAACCATTGATAATCCACTACCCAGAAATAACTGCTGCTAATATATTAACTATACGTATATTTTTTTAAAGTATGTATTATGTTGCCTCCAACAAAACAGCATTTGAAGAGGAAACACTGAAGGAACTTGGTAACTATCTAGATATGGGAAGATGTAACGGTATCAAGACCGAGCGTTGGCCACTCAGCCAACCCTAACTAAGCGAGCTGTACTCTCAGACTTGCCCTCAAAAAGTGTGGAATCGTGTCTCTATGGTTGTTTCTGTGCCGGAACGCAAGGCTACACTCTCTCCTTTTGCGGAACTCTATGGTCTGAGGACGCCGCTGTGACCCCGGAAGCGGTCCTGGGAGGCCTGGACGGCAAGATGGCGGCGCGGGCAGCGCTGGGCTTCATGTGCCGGCGTCTCTGGCAGGTACTTGACGGGCTGGGGGTGCTAAGCCGCCTGACAGGACAGTAGCCACAAAATCTGATTGCCAGATGTCATTCTGGCCATCGGGAACTTTCTCCGATGTTTATTCCGCATCCTGGCGTTTTGTTTGCCGGAAGGCGGCGAGAAAGGGGCTGGTTTTATTTCGAATTCTCTCATGGGATAAAACATAAGAGTCAGGGCAAAGACGGGAACAAGAAGAATCGTAGCGTGTCAGAGCTGGAAAGAATATTGAACAATATATGTTCCAGAACCCTCTTTCAGATTTGCAAAATACACTGAAGCTCAGAGGATTGCCTCGGTAAAATTAGGGGCTGAACTGATACAAGATCTTAGACCCCTCTCATGGAACCAAATGGGGATACTTTTCTGATATCCGGATGTTGTGAGATTAGATGAGAGTCGCTGAAGTCGTAGGAATGGGTTAAGGATTCTCTGTGCCGTTCTTTAGAGACAAAGCAAGACTTAAGCAGTGATTCTCAAATTATTTGGCCTCAGTACCCCATTAACACTCTAAAACCGGTTGAGGGCTCCAAAGAACTTTTGTTTTTGTGGGTTTTAGCAATGAATATTTAGCTTATTAGAAAATAAAGCCGAGAATCTTAAAAATGCTTGTTCATTTAAAAATAAAATTAACTCATGTTAACTAACCTTTTTATGGAAAGATAACTAAATTTTTCAGAGGTATAAGAGTGGCAGTGTTTTATATTTTTGTAAATCTCCTGTTAACCTTAAAAATAAAAATTACCAGCAAAAATGAGTTTATTTAGGAATAACAGAATTGCAATTTGGGACATGCAAGCTGTGGCAAAACTATAGGCAAGTCCCCAAATAAAGGAGAGGCACATTATTTTAGAGAGAGCGAGGAAGTTAGGAGGGGCTGTTTTGAATGGAAGTCCATTGGAGAAAAGCAAGAGTTAGGGCTAGATTGTTTCTCCTTGGCTGAATTGCAGGGTAGTCAGTTTCTTGTAGAAGATTCAGTGTACATCTTTTTCTGTTGGGACCTGTAATTGATCATTCTTTCCTGTTGATTATTCTTCCCTTGAAGCCTATAATTGGCAGTTCTTGTAACTGATTTTAAGTAGTGTAGATCCCCCTTTTAGCCTCCAACTCTACTTGAGTGAGGTTCCCCTTTATTTTTACATCTCCTTTTGATTAAGATCTTTCTTTAAAAGCATTGCTGATTGGGAGTCAGGTTTCCATGTTTAGTGATTGTGTCCCTAAGTACCAGGAAGGACTTTTCCTGGTTGCCATGTCTTACGTCTGAGGGAAAGTACAGATTGGAAACCTACTGAGATCACATTCAAGTAACAAGGAGGGGTGGCAGGGAGAATGCTCAGGCACTTCCATCTATCAGTACGTTATCAGGCTTGCAAGCATTGGAGATCATCTCCTTCTTGGTTACATTGTTTTTACAAAAGTTGGACAGGCTAAGTACGAAACTTAAATAATTATACAAAACAAAAGAAGTAATGTAACAATTCCAAATTGTATGATGGTTTTAAACCAGGACCCTAAGTCTGAAGGTAGCCAACTGAAATATTTATTGGCACTTACTCCAACTTAGGGGAGGAAAGTTCCCCCTACAAAGGCAAACCTGGGGTCATGTATGCCTCCTGGAAGTCCCTGCTTAACGTAGCCATGAAGACAAAATAGTGAATAGTGCAAGAACACGGTGAAAATTAACTGAGTGCATTTGGGAAAATATACTGTAGTCACAAACATGAAGCTAATAGCTAATGAGTTTTTTGCAAAAATAGCAAAACTTCAAAGGTATATGAAAACAGTATTGTTATCTCAAAAGAACTGTTTGGAACCAAATGTAACCCAATAATACAGCACATAAGGTTGCAAATTTCAGAGATCATGAATTTGGATAAGATGCCAGAGTCAGTTAATAGTCCAGATGAACAAAGAGACTTGTGAATGCTGAACCCTCTTACCCTTCAGAAAAAGCATGTGAAAGTTAATTTGTCACAGGATCATGATGAGGCTGTTTTCAAAAGGCCATAATCAAAGGAAGAGGTTTCCCCCTTTCACAAGGGTTTGGCAAATTCAGACAAGGGCATTTTCTTTCCACAAGAGAGAGAGTAGAAGTAAATAGTGAGGAAAAGGTATACAGGCCTGACCTGGACATCTTGGGAAAGCTGTCTCTTCAGATGTCATCTGCTTCAGTTCTGGGAAATTTTTACTTTTAGGTCATTAGATGATATACAGGTCCAGTCAGGGTTTGATGCTTTCTTTAGATTTGTCATGTGAACCCAGCAGTCTGTTTCTTGGAGTTTGGCAGCACAAGGGTTGGTTAGCAGTAGCTGATGAGGTTCCTTCCAGCAAGGTTAAGGAGAGTCTTTCTGGACGTATCTTTACCAGTAGATGAAATCTCCAGGTTGCTTGGTGTGATGATTAAGGTCTGTCTCCCAGGAGAGCACTGTGAAGAGATTGCTTGACCAAAGCATGGTTGTTTTTAATAGAAGTAATTAGGCCTTTACAATGAAGTAGATATCCTTTTATCAGTTGTGGGTCAAGGAGGCAGGTACCAGGTTCATTGGGCGTCCTATGACTAGCTCAGAGATTGAGAGTCTGAGTTCCAAAGTGGGTGGATCTGAGATTCAGAAGGACCAACGGCAGTGCTTTTGGCCAAGGTATTGGGAGAGTCTCTACAAATTTTGCCAATTAAGTCTTTATAGTACCGTTAGTGAGTTTAACTAACTCTGAGGACTGAAAATGATATATATACGATAAAAGTGTTGTAAAACCAGCCAAACAGCACAGACTTGTCAAAGCACCTGACTGGTCACATGGGTTCCCCAATCACTATGAAGTTCAAGAGGGGTTCCCCCAGTAGGAATAATCCTTTCTAACAGAACTTTAGCCACAGAAGAAGCAGTTGCCTGTCTGTAAGGGAAAGCTTTAGTTCAGTGAGAAACATACAAACCATGACTAAAACATATTTATATCCATGAGATGGGGGAGTTGTATGAAATTCCTGCAAAGGTTTCTTTACACTGTACTTTGGACAGAAGGGATAAGTGAGGTAGATACTTTTTGCAGCCTTATTAATATTTCCCCATGAATATTGGTTAGTGATGCTGTCATTTTTTCAGTAGACCAATGGTTTAATACATGTACAGTGGTAAGTAGTGGGAATGTTAGAATTTCTGGTAAGGACAGATTGTTATTTGGTCCAGACCACAGTTCTCTTTTTATTGAGCCAACAATTACTCTCTTTCCGATACTGTTTTTCCCTCTCTCGGACCAATTGTTGAGTATCTCTGGTTAATTTTTCCAAATTATCATTTTGGGAAACATCCCTTTGGACCGTGACAGAGATTTGGCTATTGATTTCTTTGAAAGCAGCATTTTTGTTGAAAATAGTAATGAGGTGGTTTCCTTTGGTGCCCAGGTTGTTGAGTCTGGAATGCCTGGGAACCTTAGTAACAGAGCAGCCAGCCAAAGTATGGTATCAAATAAATTTTGGATATAGGAGACGTTGTTAATTTTATCCCCATTGGAGATCAGGAAACTTCTTGACTGCTTCCTCACATTCCAAAGTTATGAACTACCCCAAAGACATACTGACTGTTGGTATAAATTTGCAGCTTTGCCCTTAGCCAAAATTCAAGATAGTTAAAGGGGATCCCAAGATTATTTCTTCAGTGGCCTTAACTAAGTGCCGTGGCAGGAATGGCTCAGAAGTTAGGGGAATATCCCCATGCTACAGGGTCTGGTTATTGGCTTCAATACCCAACAGGTCCATCACGGTCCCCATGTACTGGGGTGAGTACTCCCAAGGGTGTTCCTTTCCCCTCCACATACAAAGAGTAAAAAGGGAAGTTGGTAATTAGGATGTCTGAGGGCAGGGGGCTTTATTAAAGTCCCAAAAGCTTTGTCTTCTCGATTTGTCCAAATAATAGGATTGGGTTTGTCATTTTTCTTTTTTTAGTAAAGCATATAGAGATTGAGCCATAAAAGAAGTTTCAAATCCAATTTCAACAGTGGCCAGCCAGTCCAAGAAAACCTCATAATTGGCACTTCTTTTTAGGTTTGGGGAAGTTCAGGATGGTATGAGGCCTCCCTGGATCCAAATGTAGGCTTTGTTCTGAGATCAGGTGCTCTAACTATCAAACCTGAGTTTGAGCAAACTGCAGTTTTTTCTTTGGAGACTTTGTGTTCTTTTAAGGCCAAGGCCGAAAGCTTTAATAGGTAGATGGTATCTTACTGAGAAGGGCAGCAGAAAAGCAAATCACCTACATATTTTATCAAAGTAGAGCCTGCAGAAAACTTTGTCATCCAAATCCGTTTTTAAGGTTGGTGAAAAGTAAGGACTCTGTGCAACTCTGAGGCCTTACTGTCCAGGTGTCTTTCCATCCTTCCGAAGTGGAAGCAAAAAGATATTGGCTATCCTTACCAACTGGAATACTAAAAAATGCACTGTGTATTTCAATTACAGTGAAAATTTGCTTTCACCGGGAATGGATGTCAGCAACATATGCAGGTTAGGAACAACAGGGTGCCAAGGGATAACAATGTCTTGTTCAGAGGCCTTGGACAAACCTCCATCCTTGGCCATTGAGTTTTCTCACAGGTAAAATAGGGGTATTACTTACTAGGACTAGTGCAGGGGATAATGAGGACCCTGAGCTTTGTAATCATCTGTTACAGGCTTGATGCCTTGCAGGGCTTCTTTCTTTATAGGGTATTCATTAATTGTGGGGAGAGGTTTTGAGGGATCTGCTTGAATCTTGATAGGAAGTACGCGTGGATTCTGCAGATCAGTTGAAGATTTTGCCCAGAAAGAGGATTTGTCCCAATAGGAACAAACAGTGTCCCCACATGCAACTATAGTGCTATCAGACATGGAGCAAATAAAAGATGTAAAAAGGTTGTTTAATCCCCCTGGTTGGCCATTTTGATTACTACTGTCAAATTCTAGAATTATTTCCCTCTTTTGGGAGAAAGAAATTCCAGCACGATATGTTTATTAA